ACATTGAAAATGTTATTTTTATCACTGGCAAGCGACACAAAATAATGATTTACCGATGATCACCTCTAGCTTCACTCAAAAATTACCACAATAACGTTCATTCCACACTATTGTGCGTCAACACCCATAATTAACGCTGCGTCTATTGTTTCATTTAGATTTATAACCAACATATTTTACATGTATTGTACCTAAATAACACCGAAAAAATTAAAGGGGTGATTCTGTGATGAAAAGTAATGTGTGTTTGGTATAAAAATTTTTGAAAAACCCTCGCCGGAAAAGTTACACCCCTTCTAAAATTAAAAAAAAAATGGTTTTTCTTTTTTATTTTCCCTGTATATCAAGCTAAAGACACGAAACTTGGTAAACATTATCTGTCAATAAAAGTACACTTTTTGAAATTTTTTCGACCCTGAAGTATGCTTAGAAGGGGTTGAAATAATTAACCCCTAAGATATTTTTTCTTACAACTTTTTTTTAGATGAAAATTTTTTCTTTAAAAAAGTATGGCTGAAAAGCCCAATTCATTGACTAACTTTTTTATCTCTACAAGTTTTTTTCGATTTATGAGAAAAAAATAAATAAGCTCATGTAAAATAGCATTTTATTAAACAACAGCCAACCAAATTATGATTCTTAAGACTTCTACAACTAAAAACAAAAGTGAACAAACAATGAACAAAAACCTGTCGAATATCGACAATACAATTATAATAAATGTTGAAAATGACCGCCTTCAGCTTCAATACAAGCATCTACCCTTTTCCTCATAGAATTGCGTATATGATGAAATATTCCTGGAGAATTTCTTATAGTTTCACACCCTGCTACAATACGGTTTCGCAGATCATCGATATTTTCAACTGGGTTTGTGTATATCAAAGATTTCAGATATCCCCCAAAAATCCAAAGGATTAAGGTCAAGGGAGCGGGCTGGCCAGTTTACAGGCCCTCCTCGACCTATCCATTGATTGGCATACACCTCATCCAGGTGAGTTCTTGCACGTATACTAAAATGAGCTGGTGCCCCATTGTGCATAAACCATAAATGTTGCCTAATTTGAATGGGAACCTCTTCAAGAAGAACAGGTAATTCTTCAAGGAGATGACAATATGCTTCACCATTTAATCGTAGCGGAAGAAAATGGGGACCAATTAAATGATTATCAATAATTCCGAGCCACACGTTTAATGAAAATTGATACTGATGATTTCCTTCAAAAAAGCCATGAGGATTTTCGTCAGCCCAAAGGTGATTGTTGTGAAAATTTCTAATACAGTCTCTTGAGAAACTCGCCTCGTCAGTAAATAAAATATTACCTAAGAACTGTGGTGCTTGGCCAATCATATTAATAAGCCACTGACAAAAAATCTCACGGGGTAAAAAATCTCGAATCATTAACGCCTGCACCCGTTGAAGATGATAGGGATACAACATTTGTTCTTTTAAAATTCTAAAAACAACGGAATGGCTTACATGTAGGACACGAGCTATTCTCCTGGTACTAGTTTCTGGGAATTCTTCAACTGAATTAAGTACGGCTTCTTTTACAGCTGCAGTTCTAACTTCTCTAGTACGACCAGAATCATAACTTCTTTTTTCAAAATTACCACGTTCCCGCAAGCGTCGGTGAATAGTTGTGAACGTAGTATGATGGGGTAGTCTACGCTGTGGGTACTGTTCAGCATAAAGTATTTGCGCTTCCAATGAATTACCGTTAGCACGACCGTATGTAAAATGCATATCTGCCATTTCCAAATTCGAATATGCATTCATATTTTCAATCAACTAATATTTCCTACAATACACAATCATAAAACTTGTAAAACAATAAGATGGGTACTTAGATTATACAAACCTTAGATGGAACATAAGACACTGCGCATAATCCCATTTCAAAATGATTCACACCCACCAATCACAGTTGAGAACATCACATGTCAGACCGTTATCCATTCAAATTTAATGTGTCAACGAGAATTAATTTGGTATTTTAGTGACTTAAATTTTGGAAATTAACGTTGAAAATGCCAAGATGTGTTGTAAAAAGCTTTATTTATAATAAACCTGTGAAATGTGACGGAGATAAAAGAAACTTATATTTATTACGGTGAGATATTTAATTTTTAAAGATTCTGTCGACGTCCATATTTGTTGATTTGAAAATAAACAGAATCGGACTTGGTCATTGGTACATGTTATAAGTAGCAAATAAAGGTTATTATTATAAACTGTTTACTATTTCTTGTTTCATAGGGAATCTTTTTTTAGGAAGTGAAAAGAGAAACATACAATCAAATACAAAAATATCAATTTCATTGCCAATTTATTCGTTTCAAACTTCACAACTGGTTTCAATAGTTTTCTCAAAACTATTTATTTAGTAATTATCTATAACAGTGTTACTCAAAGTGTAAAGCCAAAGTTTCCGCGAAGAAAATAATCACAATAAAAAAAAACAGTACTATCGCCACAAAATGGAGGGACCTGGCTTGAGGACCGTTTTTTGGGAAGTAATTTTTTTAAGTCACTAACAGGAAGGAGGATATGATTATGCTTTAGGACTTTTTTTTTAATTAATTTTTTATGGGTGAAATGGATTTGGGATAATTTTTGCAAGGAATCTTTGGAATAAATCAAAAATAAATGATGCTCTTGTGCATTTTCAGCCTGAGTTGCCGATTAAATTATTCGTAGATGCATCAAATGTGGGAATAAGGGCCATGATATGTCATTTAAAAAAAAAAAATATATTGAAAAATGTATAGCTTCTGCTTCGCGTACCTTATCAAAGTCCGAACAAAAATATTCCCAAATTGAAAGAGAGGTCCTTGCAATAATTTTTGGCTTAAATAAATTTAATGAATATTTATATGGACATTTGCATAAAGTAGAACATTATGCAACTGATTACGAAAAGTTGATTATATCACCAGTTACGAAATGAAAATAAATAAAACTGCCTCTTTTTTGGTTTCTAAGTTGAAAAATCGAAAAATCGTGAAATTGAGAAATCGAAAAATCGAGTAATCGAAAAATCTAAAAATAAAAAATAGAAAAATCCAAAAAACGAAAAATCGAAAAAACCAAATATCGAAAAAGGGGCAATGACTAGTGACATTTCACATTTGAAAATATGACATTACGTTTAAAAACAAAAAAGAAAACAAAAAAAGAAAACAAAAAAAGAAAACAAAAAAAGAAAAGCTGTAAATTGCGTTTAATTTTTAAAATAACACCGTTATTGAAAACTGCCCAGAAATGTTGGGGGTAAAATTTTGACGTACTTCTTTAAGGATAATGGGTAAAAATGTTTTTTTTTTTTCAAATTTCTCGCGGGTAATGTCAAAAATTAGATCGGCAACACTGCACATGTCCCTTATTTTTATTATTACTATTGAAAAAAAAACCGTCGTAGGGCAATCAACAATTTTCTAAAATAGTTGATGGAAGTACCTACACAAGAATGATGGTGAATCATTTTTCAACAAAATTTTATAAATAATCAAGTCAAAATTAGAAAAAAAATCTTGTATATTAACACGTTACGAAATGCCGTTTCGTGTAAGTCGTTCATGTTGCGGGAACTCGCTCCGCTCGTTCTGCAAATATTTACTCGTTACACAAAATAAGGCATTTCGTAACTGGTTACATAAATAACTATTAATTGACTTTCTAATATTTTAATTCATTGAACGGTATTTTCCGTAAATAATTAAATCATAAATAATTACCAGAATATAAGTACCAAAACATTTTTTTCTCTTAGAACAGTAGGCCTATGTCAAATAAACTTAAAATATTATAACGAACGAAAAGGTAACCCATTTCTAAAAAAAATTAGTTATTTATTTTATTTTGGTGTGATCGTAGAAAAAATCTTGTGTGTAATTCGAGCAAAAAGTACTTATAAACTTTTACTTAGGGTCGATTTCACCGTTTTGTTAAACGAAGTTTAAAATACTAAATGGAGTTTAAAATGACATTTTTACATTAACTATGTCATTTTAATCTTCGTTTAATAATTTAAACTTCGTTTAACACAACGGTGGAATCGGCCCTTAGCTAGTTATATATTGATAAAGTGTTATTGCCCTCGTCATACATGAATCGTGCTAACAAATAAAGTAAAACAATCGTCTCATAATTTTTCATCTTTTAATTACCCACCAAAATTAGGTACTACAATACAAATATTTAAGTCCGGCCCAGAACATCTCCCTACTCCTTCCACCCAGTTTTTCGGTTTTGGCAAAATTCGCGCAGCGAGAAATGCTTCCTATGTTACCTCTACCCTTTCTAACCTCTTTGGATGGGTAACAGAAAATGACACTACACAATCCTGGTATCAGTATTAATGTTTTTATGCAAGGCACAGGCCACTAGACTTGACGCAAAATACACTCGCGTTAGCTCATCTTTTTGAAAATGCATTGCATTAATTTTTTTTCTCGTAAATACTCAAGTTTTAGAAAAAACTTGTAGAGTTAAAAAAGTTAGTCAATGAATTGGGCTTTTCAGTCATACTTTTTAAAGAAAAAATTTTCATCTAAAAAAAAGTTGTAAGAAAAAATATCTTAGGGGTTGATTATTTCAACCCCTTCTAAGCATACTTCAGGGTTGAAAAAATTTTAAAAAGTGTACTTTTATTGACAGATAATGTTTACCAAGTTTCGTGTCTTTAGCTTGATATACAGGGAAAATAAAAAAGAAAAACCATTTTTTTTTAATTTTCGAAGGAGTGTAACTTTTCCGGAGAGGGTTTTTTCAAAAAATTTTATACCAAACACTCACATTAATTTTCATCACAGAATCACCCCTTTAATTTTTTCGGTGTTATTTAGATACACCCTAAAGCTGAAAAAAAAAATAAAAAAAGGAGAAAATATAATTTGAAAACATATATTTACAAATCTTTAACTTACAGAATAATTATATCTTTTAAATAGTTAACAATAATAAAAACTCTTTTTAAATCGTTTAATAATCTACAAAGACAACAATAAATCGTTAAAGGGAGTATCCGGTTGGTCCTTAACCTTGGTGAAGTTATCTACAAACGTTTGACGTTGCTTGTCGTTCGTCAAGTTGTTGTAGAAATCCGCACCTGCGATGCATAACATTTTCTTGTCTTCGTATTCGTAACGACCTACTCTGGTTTGGATGTAGGGGAAGTACGAACGCAACCAATCGTTAGTGCTAGCGCTCAGGAAAAAACATGTCAAGCACCACGTTGCCATGCCGATTGAAAATGATTGGGTGAAGTTTGATAGGCTGAACACCACCCAATCTTGCAGAAGCGACCACTGATTTCGTTGGATTGCACTTTGGAAAACCTGAAATTAAAATATTTTCAGTATAATATTAAGGACGTCGAAGTATAAAAAAATAGTATATTATGCAACGATCATGTAATGATGGTTATTAATACACGAGCATTAACCGGGATACGAAACGAGCCAAAGGCGAGTTTCGTATGGTTTATGCGAGTGTTTTAATAACCATTACATGAGAGTTGCATACGCTATTTTTTCTACACCCGATAAATAATCAAGACCTATAAATATTATATTTATATTGGTATTGAACACAATAACAGTAATTACTCGTATTTCTATAAAAAATTCTACAAAATTGTAATTAATGGTATTACTTCAGGTATTGGTATTTCCCTAGATTTTTGCGGTAAAATATTTTGTACTGTATTTTCTGCTTTCTCCGATATGTGTGGAGGAGTCTTCTATATCGCTAATATCAGACATTTTAATATTATAATTATCGAAGTTTAGCTACCTACGAAAATTTAATACGTTTTGACAACTAAAATAATTACATAGGAACCTAGGACAAACGTCAAACAGCATGCTTGATTGAAAAATTGTAGGTTTCTATTGATTAAAAATCTGTATCGTAATGAAAAATCTGTACCACTATGGGTATCATTATGAAACGGATTATGGGCATATAAGTGCATTATTATAATACGGGTGTAGAAAAAATAATAAAAAGTACCCATTTATATAGTAAGTTTTTAAAAAAATGGCGGTAAACATACGAAATTTTGAGAAATATTAAATCAAAAAATTTAATTTTATAGGTTGTCTTGTCACAGACCTGGATTTCGATAACAGCTCCACCTACCGGGTTCAACTATAGCTAAGAACCATCCAGGTAACCCCAAAAGTACAAAAAAGACGTTTAGGAGGAAAAAATTAGGAACACACGCACATCAAAATTTTATATACAGAGTGAATACTAACTTGATACTTTTTTTAACTGTATATAGAAGTGGTTAAAATAAACAACTTTTTCGAAAAAAACTCAAAAATAAGAAAGGTACGGAATTAAAAAAATTAAATTCGAGACTGGATTTGTGTATTAAAATTTAGCTAAATAATAATGTTATGAAATTATTAAGTCCGACTCTGTCTACGCACGCAACCAACTGGCTGCAAAAGATAAAAACCAAATAAGAAGTTTTCTTGGGCTTTGTACGTACTACCGAAGATTCATAAAGAAGTTTGCAGATATTGCTAAACCACTAACGCGACTCACAGAAGAAGCAAGAGAATTCTGCTGGGACGAAGACTGCCAAACTGCCTTCGAAACTTTAAAGAAGCATTTAACAACAGCGCCAATATTAGGCTACCCACTACCAGAGGGAGAATTTATCCTGGATACTGATGCCAGTAATGTGGGAATTGGAGGAGTGCTTTCACAGATTCAAGGGGGGAAAGAAAGAGTACTGGGTTATTTTAGTAAAGTGCTCTCGAAACCTGAGCGGAATTACTGCGTGACGAGAAGAGAACGCCTGGCAGTTGTGAAATGTGTAGAACACTTCTACCAATACCTATATGGAAGGAAATTCTTAATCCGTACCGATCATGCTGCTCTTAAGTGGTTGATGCAGTTCAAAAATCCGGAGGGTCAAATCGCCAGATGGATTGAGCGACTTCAGTAGTACGACTTTAAGATCGAACATAGAGCCGGAATTAGCCACAGAAATGCCGATTCTCTTTCTAGAAGACCGTGTTCAGCAGAGTGCTCCCACTGCAACAAAGCGGAGTCCAAAGAAAGTGGACTACTAAGAACAACGGTAGTCAACGATGAGTGGGCCCCTGCTAAAATTAGGGAAGAACAAGAAAACGATACCGTTCTAAAGATGCGACAATGGAAAGAGGAAAATCGTCGACCTACTTGGCAAGAAGTATCTAATGTCTCTCCAGTACTTAAGTCGTATTTGGCTCAGTGAGACTCCTTCATCCTGGAAGATGGCTTATTAAAGCGAGTACTTGAAAATGATGATGGTTCCGAGAACAGAAGGCAGTTGGTCATTCCAAGAAGTAGAGTAGCTGAAGTACTCCGTCAGTTACACGACAGTCCATCAGCAGGACATCTCGGTATTAGAAAAACCCTTCAGAGAGTTCGGGAAAGGTTTTATTGGATGAATAGTTCCGATGATGTAAAGGACTGGTGTAAGAAATGTACCAGCTGTGCTGTAATGGACCTCAGCGAAAAAGGAAGGCTCCCATGAAGCAATACAACGTTGGTAGCCCATTTGAGAGGATCGCCTTAGATATTGCTGGACCATTCCCCATGACCGAGAATGGTAATAAATACATGATGGTGGTGATGGATTACTTCACGAAGTGGGTGGAAGTCTACGCCATTCCAAATCAAGAGGCCGCTACTGTTGCAGATGTGTTGATTAAAGAGTTTATCTGTCGATTTGGAGTGCCCTTGGAGATCCACAGTGACCAAGGCAGAAATTTTGAAAGCCAACTCTTCCGTGGAATCTGTGACAGACTGGGCATGAAGAAAACCCGAACCACAGCATTGCACCCACAATCTGATGGCATGGTAGAGCGAATGAATAAGACCATTGGAAAATATCTGTCGAAAGTGGTCTCAAACCATCAGCGAGATTGGGATCAGTATCTTTCGCTCTTTGAAATGGCTTATAGATCCGCTGTCAATGAATCAACAGGCCAAACACCAGCAAAGGTCCTGTTTGGGCGTGAGACGAGACTACCGTGCGACCTTGAGTTTGGATGCCGACCTGGAGAAGATTTAGCTGGTGAAGACTATGTGATCCAGTTACGAAGAAGAATGGGCGATATGCATGAATTGGTCCGCTCGCATCTTCAAATCGCCAGCGACATAATGAAGAAGCGATATGATACCCAAGCCATGGAGGGAGGTTTCAAGGAAGGCGACAAAGTCTGGCTCCATAACCCAAAAAGACAAAAGGGTTATTCTCCGAAGCTTCAAAGGTCTTGGGAAGGTCCGTATCTCATCAAGAAAAGAATCAATGATGTCATTTATCGTATAAGTAAGATCCCGAACGGTAAACCAAGGGTAGTGCACCAAAACCGGCTGGCGCCATTTTAGGGTGACCATGAAGAGGGAGAAGAAGTAAACCAGCTCCAAGAAACACCTGACCTTGTCTTTGAAGAGTTTATGGGTGCATATGGAGGTACCGGAAAAGCAAGACATGGTGTTACAACCGAGCAACAACAAGACCTGCTCACGGTTCCAAAAGACTACTCGCTGGTCCATAGCACATCCGCCAACATCTACGACGCTCGAGGTTTGGCATCTATATTCCGGAAGAAGTTTGGTCGATTGCCAGAACTTCAAGATCAGTTACCAGCCCCTGGGAAAGCATTAAAACTTCTAGAAGGATCGCGTTATCTTTTCTATTTGGTAACAAAGAACACCTTCCGAGATCGATCCACCTATCAGGATTTATGGGAAGCATTACTCAGTCTGAGGGAGCACGTACTGGAGTCCAATATACAGAAACTAGCTCTGCCAAGGATGGAGAGCAATCAGCTGAATTGGAGGACCATTAGAAACATGGTGGAAGTAATCTTTCAAGATACCCAGGTTGAAATACTGGTCTGCAGCCATTCTCCCAACGTTCAGGTTATAACGAAGACTGTCCCTTGTTACTTCCATGCAACTGGAAATTGTAAAAGAGGATCCAGTTGCAAATACAACCATTCAGTTTTAGTTCCAGGAGGAACTATTTCTTAAGGAGGGGGCAATGTTATGAAATTATTAAGTCCGACTCTGTCTACGCACGCAACCAAATCGTTATCGGAGCAACGATGACGTGTGGAAACAATCGGACCGTTTCTAGAATGAACCAGAAACGACGAGATGCCTGCCGCTGAATGTTCGAGTCGACTGTCGGAAGCCTCTAGCATTTTCCAGTAGCGGAGTTGAACTAATATAAATAGCCGGCGTATTAGCGCCGAGTTTAGTTTAATGTAGAACGTTGTATTGAAAAGTAAAAGTGTAAGAAATAAATTAGAATTGTTAGTTATTGTTCAAATATTATATAAATTAAATAGTACGTCTGAAATAAATTGTAAATAGTGTTTTTAAATAAATAAACTAAATAAATTAGACTTTCGTCACAATAAGTATGTTTATATTATATTGGGCTTTTTTTGTTGTTTCTAATGAATCGCCCTGACATTGTCTACCGTATTGTCAGTCGTAATTTCAGTGGCGTGTTTATTTAAAGAACCTAGTGAATTTAATTTGTTCGGTATGGTAAATTACGAAAACAATGAACTCTGTGGATATGTTGCTTATTTATGACGATTGTCTTCAGAGTGTAGCTGCTGCATCGGTATTGTGCAGTGAATGCTTTCCCTTGAAATTTGTGGAAAACTAATTGTATCTCTTTCTCGTTTAACGGTTTCAAGCACTACAACTTGAAGATTTTCCAGGCAAAGTTTTGTGAATGGTTCTTACAATGGTATAAATGAGATCAACATTTTCTGAAAAAGTTCTAGCTATGGACCTGACAGTTATTGGGTACATTTTGGAATACTTTATTGTATCTATCTTATTTGAAAAAGTTATCTGAAAAGGTTGTTTAATAGAAAGGGGTATAATAAATATTCAGAATATATATTTTAAATTATTTTAGACATAATAAAAATTAAAATATATTCTATAGATTCTATAACATTAAATAAAAATTCCCTGAAAATATTTTCCGTAAATCTTGTCAGAAGAAATAAATAAATTGAATTCTTTTCCTTTCAAAATGAAATTATTTTATTTGTAAATCGTAATGGAAAATACCAAGAAAATATTAATATAAATAACCAAATTCTGGCCGTTGTCCAACGATAGTCTAAAATTTACGGTTGATTGCTATAATGATAGTGACGGACGGCATATTTTTTTTGTAAAAAACAGTCAATTAATAAAAAATGGGAAAAAAATAAAAAAATCGTTATATAATGTAGAGAAAAATGAAAGCATTCATCAAAATAGACAGCCAATAATTTTTACTAATATGAGAAGCACCTCTTGGCGACGTTGTCAACTACATTAAATCTGTAGGCTAGCTCAAGAGCTAGGAGGTGCCTATCATTTTAGGATGATGCACAATAGGCCTAGTGAGGCCTAAGTGCCGTGGGAATAACCCACTCCCCACACTTTACAGATACAGATAGATACTGAAAAATATGAATTTTTACCTGAAACACAACTTTGCTCAATAATTTCGGATGCGGCTGCTGGGAGGACAAAAATTCTCCTATCACTTTGGTCAAAATGTCGGCGGGTGAAAAAAAGTCGTCGAGCACATTCGGCAATACTGCACACAATATTTCTACCTCGTATACATAGCCCTTTTTTATTCTCTCAAAAATGGCCGATAGAGTTTCTATCGTTTGAACTAAATGGTCGGGACTAGTTGGAATGTTTAAAGTTTGGACACTTTGTAGGTGACCGGCACAATCTAAAAAAAATAGTTTAAAGTTTAGTAATCTTTAGGACTGATGTTATTCCGAATTAAGACAATTTACATTAAATTGGTATGTGGTGAGATCTTCAATTATACAGTATCCCCCTAAGTTGAAATCATATTGAAAACTTTTTTTATTATTAATTTTAGGAAAAAAAGTTATTCTTCATAAAAAGTTATTCTTCATAAAAAGTTCTGCATTATCTAAAACCTAGAATAACTTTTTTCCCAATATTATTAATAAAAAAGATTTTCATATGCCGACAATTTACGTAGACAGTTAGTGGCATAGGAAAGCTTTTTTATTACTAATTTTAGGAAAAAAAGTCGAGCATTGTCAAAAACCTAAAATACAACCATCAAATGTCAAACCTCGTATACCACTGAAAAAATTTGATATTTGATGACTGTATTCTAGGTTTTTTATGAAAAATATTTTTTTTTCCTAAAACAAATAATAAAAAAGTTTTCCATATGATTCCAACTTAGGGGGGCATACACTAGATAAATAATGTTGCCTGTTTTTTGTCTCTAATATTGCTAATTTTGAAATGTACCTTCTCAAGCAGATCGAGTAGATATTTTGGTCACGTGACATCGAGCAATCATATCAATGGGGCAAACGAAGAAAAAAGAACGATATCGAGTAAAACAAGCAAAACGAGGCAGGTATTTTTCAAACGCAGCATGAATAGTAATTAGAAAGAGATAACTTTCCATCTACGATTAAATTAAAAAATTTGAAATTGCGCATTTTTCATTGCCTAATGACATTTTTCCATTAACAATCACCAATGTCATTTTAAGCTTCGCTTATTTCTTAACTACTAGCGATGCAAATGGCCCTGAGCCACATACTTTGATTACTATACGAGGCAAGAGAGAGGTCCGACACGCCCAACATAGGGCGCGGCCATTTTGAACCCTGTGACACAGTTTACAGCTAAAGAATCAGATCGCTCACTCTGCGTCGGCACTTTTGATCTCAATATTTCATTTTATACACTGTGCCACTCGGATAATACAATATATGACAACCGCCTATAATAAAGCAGCAGTCTTCTGCGTATCATGAATTTGTATCCCTGGAGTGGATGTTATTTTGGAACTTTCAACTGGTCCGAGTGAGCTAACTGATTCTTTAGCAATAAACTGTGACTTCAAAAATAATATTCACTGACACTGACAGCAGCAAGCAAAATATCAGGTGCGTTTTAATCATCCGCTTCTGCTTCCGGAATTGTCGGTTTAGTCGTTTTAACCTGTCAGATTAAAACAAGAAAACCGACAATTCCGAAGCAGAAGCGGATGATTAAAACGCACCTATTAAAAATATTGCACCAAGATGTAGGCAACACGTAATAAGGGTTCAAAATGGCGGAGTTTTTTATCTCCTTTTAAAAGGCACTCAGAAAGCTGCGCAGTGCGACCATTCTCCGTATAGTAAAATAAAATCAAAGTATGTGCGCCCAACATAGGACGCGGCCATTTTGAACCCTATGACACAGTTTATAGCTAAAGAATCAGATCGCTCACTCTGCGTCGGCACTTTTGATGTCAATGTTCCAGTTTATACACTGCGCAACTCGGATAATACAATATATGACAACCGCCTATAATAAAACAGCAGTCTTCTGCGTATCCTGGATTTGTATCCCTGTAGTGGATGTTATTTTGGAACTTTCAACTGGTCCGAGTGAGCTAACTGATTCTTTAGCAATAAACTGTGACTCCAAAAATAATTATCACTGACAGCAGCAAGCAAAATATCAGGTGCGTTTTAATCGTCCGCTTCTGCTTCCGGAATTGTCGGTTTAGTCGTTTTAACCTGTCAGATTAAAACAAGAAAACCGACAATTCTGAAGCAGAAGCGGATGATTAAAACGCACCTATTAAAAATATTGCGCCAAGATGTAGGCAACACGTAAAGGTTCAAAATGGCGGACTTTTCTATCTCCTTTTAAAAGGCACTCAGAAAGCTGCGCAGTGCGACCATTCTCCGTATAGTAAAAGAAAATCAAAGTATGTGCCCTGAGCTGTTTATAAACATTTTTCATAGGCGTATCAAACTGTAGGAGTGGTGAAACAAAAAACCCAAATATCAAAAAAAATTGCTTTATAATTATTAACATTAAATTATGAACTTATTCTTGTATCCACTTTGATAAATAAGAAATTAAATCAAAATTTTTTCGATTTATCTAAACACCCAGATTGGAGAGAAAAATGGGGAACAGCATTGAAATCATTTAACACATTGCGTGCCAAGTCTTTCATTATATAAGACAGTGGTATTGCTGAAGAGGTCACCTCTTTCTTTTTTGTAAGACAGGTACGTTTCTATTCACAGCGAAGCCATTCAAATATGACAGACGCCACAGTGTATTTTAAATAAGGAATCCCAACTGTGCCCTCTACCGAACATCCTACAAATGTTGGTTTGAGAAAAATGAAAAGATAAAAGTTTTCTGATGGAAGGCACACAAAATCAGGCAGAAAAATATATTTCCTGCGGGGTCACGTCTTTCATATATGAAAGACATACAAAAAAAATAAAATATAATAATAAAAAAGGCTTAAAATAGTTTATGTCGGTACAAAATACATACAAATCATTTAAAATATAATTTTCTTATGACACCTCGGCCCGCAATGTGTTAAAATATTGGTGCCAAATGGAAGGCGATTTCTTAAGATGGTAAGTATTCCATACTACTCATTGTTTTAAAGGCAGACATAATAAATAATATTTAGAAGCATTTATATAAACAAGTTATTTCGTTTTACATATGGAAAGTTAATTACTTCCACTTTATGTTCCACCTGGGTTCTGACCTCGGCACTAGCGTTCCTCGGTCAATCTATTTTGTTTTCGATACTTTCCACCTGGGTATATATTCTACAAAGTGCCTATTATACTGTTAGCGTCCTCTATACCGTACTATAGACATACCGCAGTTGACAATATAATAAACTTGAAATATTAGTTTGTGCAACAAGAGTGCATATGATGCCATATCGCACGAAGACGAATTTTGAGTTCGACGCCTTAGGCGGAGTGCGATATGGTCAATCTACTTGAGTTGTACAGTATATTTTTTCTACGACCCACTAACGAAAATCTACATATTAAAAAATTTATTACAGGTTATTAAGACAACATAATTAATTTATGAATTTCACTAATTTATAGAATAAAATAAACATAAAAAAAAGATTTAATTTAATTAGTCCCCAGCCCAGATTGGATCCCGGGCTTTTTGCATGAAAGGCAGATGCTCTATCCTCATCTCCATTGCCACTTTTAGGGTTTTAGTTTTAATAATCGTAATTAAATTAGTTTCATATAGTTTGATTAAAATTATTTTTTTTTTAAATGTGCACCAAATAAAAATGCTATTATTTATCGATTCTACTCATTTCAATATATATTTAATCTCAATAACTAAAAAATATACTGACAATAAGTTTGACAGAATGATCACTTATTACTTATTTAAAATTTTAGAAATAATAGTAGTTGGAAGTTCAAAATATGAACTGTGAGTGGTGGATTTAATTTTTTGCAGTGTTCTCACTATCTAAAATGGATATGAAATATATTCGTTCAGTTGAATGCAATAGCATACTTTTTCGTTCTGTAGTATGTGCGTAGATTAGCTAATATCCATGTGGGTGTAGAAAAAAGAATTTTCAATACATATATAACGAAACAAAAAAAAAATTTTCTTCAGCAGAGTTTGTGATCGTCTTACTTTTAAGACATAAGAATATCAACAGGCACTTTAAAAATTTCAAAATAGAGGAATTGCGAATTATTTTGAAATGTAATAGGTATACACCTATTATTACAATACCTTCCAGATTAAATTGGTTGTCAGTGAAGGATAGACTGTATGTTCTGTTATCTATATATAAGCAAAATACCACTGACTGCCTCATCACGAGATATCCAAAACTATAAGCCCGAATGACTTGAAATTTGGCATAGTTGCTCCTTTCTCGACGTAGACACCCAGTAATTACGGATTTTATTCACATCACTAAGAGGGAACGGGGTGGGTAAAAGTTTGTATGGGAGTATCCAATTTTTTATAGGTAGGAACTTGAAAATTGGTATTGTAGCTACTCATCATAAATAAAAAATTACGTATTATATGGTTTTTAGATTTTTACGGGGGAAATGGGGATGAAAGTTTGTATGAGAGTATTTTTTTTAAAGGTAGGAACCTGAAAATTGAAAATGAACAGTTTTCTCTCGCCCTAAGAGACGAGAGAAGCCTCTGTCTCGTCTGGCGACATCACTAATGAAAGTAATTAAAAATAAACAGGAATAAATGAAAATAAATAAAAATTAATAAAAATATATAAAAACAAATAACTGGTCTTCTTACGCCCTGGTATGAAAAATATGAGTGAACTGATGTCCCGACACCTCGACAGCCTAAGGGAGGACTGCTTTTCTCACAGACAGTTTTATGTGACCTGTTACAAAGTCAGTTTCGCAGGCAATCTGGTGATATTAACAGATGAGAACTGTACCAGAAATGTGGTATAAAAAGAGATTCTTAATTAGATTAATGTACTTAAATATTAGAATGCCCTACTCAACTTTAATCTATAATATCACATAAATATTATGAATCCTAAGAAACAAAGCTCCTTTCTTTGCTCTGAGTCCGTTTTACAATAACCAAATTGTATTAAAATGTAAAGCACACTGAATAATTTAATAATATCTCACTTAGTAACACAAAAATGTATTATTTTAACAATTTCAATTTATTTATTCCAACAAATTTAAAAAAATCGTGCCTTTACTTAGTTATTTGTACAATGTTAACCTGTTTTTCTGTCCGATGCATGCCTGCCGGCTCCTCGTGTGTCAACAAAAAGTAAACAAAAAAAAAAAAACAATATGGTTATTGGTTATAGTTGCCAATGAAAACATGTGAGTGAGAGTATTTTTATTTATTTTAGTTTTAGATATGTTATTTAGGATTATTTAAAATTAAGTAAAGGTATTTTGACGCTTTAACGGGTCTTTGCTTTACTAGGGAAAATTCATTAAACATACATAATTTCCAACTCAAAGAAAGAAATGCTGCTACATTTTAAACATTCCACTTGAAACCAATCAAATTATGAGATAATTTTGATGAAAAATCGATTACAAACACAAATCATTCAAGAGTAAGACTACTAAGATTTGCTTTGCCTTTAGCACCTTCAAAACCAGATACATCAAAGATAATAGTACTTAGTAATGTTATCACACCTCTATATAGATTACCTGTATTACATTTTAATAATATAGATCATAATTTCAAAGACGGTCAGTCATCAAATGAATTTGAATCTTACCTAAGAAACAACGTTTCGATAATGGATTTTTAAATAAAATTACCCAGACAATACACCAAATCCCAGAGATATCCACAGAATATCTTTTGTGGATATCCAATATATCCACAGGATATCAGAAATATTCCGTGGATCTAATATGGATATCCAAATGTCCGTCTATATCCAGAATATAGAAGATATCCTAATGGATATCCAGCAAAATATCTAATGGGTATCTTCCAGAAAATAGAAGAAATCCCAGAGATATCCTCAGAATATATTTTGTGGATATTCAATATATCCAATATGGATATCCAACCAAATGTCCGTCTATATCCCAGGATATAGAAGATATTCGGATATTCAGCAACATATTTTATCTTTAGTAGAGGTTCATAAGTAACCAATGATTATTGAATAACGTCGAAAGAAAATAGCAGAGATAAAAAATATTTTCAACACTCAAAATATTTTCAACACTCTGCCTTTGATTTTGCCCACTAAGGAGAAAGTCATCCTTATTAGGACTCTTCAGCAATAAATGGAAATTCTCGACTCCAGTCTCTAATGGAGTCTGATTAGAACAAAAATTTCGATCGAACTCAATTACGGCAGGTCAAGCATGAGTAGATGCGAAAGTAGTATCGCCATCTATACTTAATAAGCAAAAAGCAAAATCAAATAACATCTAGTGGATATCCACGATGGTTTGTGTTCGCGCCTAGACTTTGATATATTTAGTGGATGTCCATGGGATATTGAATACACCTTAAAAAAATTAATTTTAAATATCTGAACGGTACTATTAGCCACAATGGCGTAATTTTTTAATAATTTGCTATATAATTACTATTATTTATGGACATTTGCATGTCTATAAATTACATATCATGGATATAAAATAGATATCCACCATGGACTGGACATTCAGTGGATATTGGGATGTGCAGTAGATATCCAAAGGATTTGGTGTGCTGTCTGGGTTAATAAAACTCGAGTTAATAGTTTATCTATTAGAAAGAAAAAAAAAATATTTTTTTAATAGAAAAAGGCCCTATAATTAATTCCTAATGTAAAATTTAAACTGCAGTCAAAATTTCAGAATCAAAGATATTTGAACAATTTAATTCGAAACTATTATAATGATAGTAGGTTTGTTCAGGTTTCTTTAAAACTCGATGCAAACCGTCCGAGAACCAATAGAACAGTTGAATTCCAAATTATTCATCGCATACAACTATTAAACTGTCCTCTGGTCAACTAGTCCTCTGATACTTCTCAATGTATTTTTAAAGAACCCAAACAGACCTAGTATGAGTGCTGTGGTAATGCTTTAAAGACCAAAAAGATAAACAAAATGATTGAAGTTACTGCATTTAATTTTTTTTTCTGTTTCAGGTTACCCCGATGGTTGCTTTTATCTTATTTCCCAAGATTCAAGGAGAATTTTTTTTATTTAGAAAATTTATTAGGCCTTCGTTTTTTCAAATCAAGTACATGGATTATTTGTTGTGCAATTTCCGATTTTCATTATTTTAACCAAAAATAGTTAACGTACCTAAATATGTGGAGATAATTTATAATACTAGAATTTGTTTATAAGTCAAACTCATTAGATAATCTTACATTACCGACAGAGTAATAATTAGTATTACATTAGAGTAGGATTATTTCAACCACCTGCACCCACAGTTCCCTGCAAGCAAACTTGTTTCCAAATTTCTACAAAGACTACTCTTAACTATCCTTCCTCCATGAGTTAGTTTATGTACAAAATTATATCGAGAAATGCCCCTAAATACTTTGATGAATTTCTTACGTTTAATCATCAAGTTCAGAATTATCCCGTAAGAAGAGTTACTGACTTTTATGTAACTAAAACAAATTACAATCACACTGCACTCAATTTTTTATAATGGTTTAATTGCATTTAACGCCCTCCCATATGAGATAAAAACTGCAAATAACAACAGAAAGTTTAAAAAAATGTTACTCAATCATATTAAAAAAGAGGTATTTCAACAGCATTTATAAATTGTATGTATATTAGAATTACCTACTAATAAATTTATTTCTATCTCTTTTGCGGCAATTTTATATTTAAACTTGTAGGTTAGCTTATCTCTAAAAAATTGTATTCAAACAAAGATGTTAATTAGCCCTCCAGTACCCTGTGGAGCGGGCGGACATAATGACTTCACCCGGGCATTTACCATCAGGGTGGTAAAATACCACCAAATGGCTACTTCCAAAAATGAGGCATCTACAGACATCTCTCGGCGACGTTATTAACCTGCAGGACTTTAACTTTTCATAGTTAACCCCGCAGCGATAACCAGCAGGTTTTTTATGAGTTAATAACTTGCATGACTGTTGATCTGGAAAATGGCTGTCTTTAGACACCCCCAGTAGCAATCAGCAGGTTTTAAACAAGTAGAGAAGCAGGTACTATATACCCCTGAAGGATGCACAATGGGTCTAATGAGGCCTAAGTACTGTTGAGCACCCTCCCCACCTTACAGATACAGAGCTATCACTTGATTAATCCATCACATCCATTATCTTTTAAAGTCGATAGATCCATTGGCTCATTGGAAAAGCCATCGCAGGAAAAAAGGACGTTTAACTCATTTTGATCGACTTTTCATTGCTTAACTTACGAACGGTTGCATGTCTATTATTTTCGTTAAAAGATGGTTAAATGAATTGGTAATTTTAAATGTTACTTTTAAGTTATTACACTAAAAACTTTACCTGTATACAAATAACTTAAAAGCATCTGCGTTCCTAAAATGGCCACGGTTGGATTGTCACTTTTCATTTTTTCTAAAGCTAATTTCAAAAATTGTTTACCAAAAGTTTCTATCAAAATGGTCTTTTTCACTATTAGCAGCCGTTCTAAACCCTAAAATATAATTAACGGTGTAAAAATGATTAGTCCAAATTAAATTTAGAATGTTACCTTCATTAGTAATAGGTGAAACCAAGTAGGGTTTCTTAATTTAAGATTAGAAAAAGCGGTTGATAAAACGTTGGATACAAAGTTCTGCTCCATATGGATTTCGTCTATGTTTTCAACTAAATAAAAGGCCAGAGACCATACTAAGCTAGTGTGCTCCTGAGATTTTTTCAAAACGCTGCAAAAAAAATTATATGGTGGTTGCAATAGTATATTGTTTAACAAACAAGATATGGTACTCATTTCCTACGAGTAGGAAATGAGCATTCTTTGCAAATTGATGACTATATTTTTTCTATGGCTATAACAGAGGCTGTTACTTATTTTTAAATAGTTTTTATCATTTTTGAAACTAAAATGAAAGCTATTCTAAATAATTATTTGTTTTGACATTACATGGCACACATCACTCTCTCTTCAAAGGTGACGTAAGTCAAAAAGGGCAAATTGTGAGACAATGAGACTGAAAAAAGTTTATGCAGTATTATTTTATAATTTTGTTTAGTTAAATATCTAGTCATTATTTTAGTACCATCTACAGTTAATATTTTTCTCTTTTTGTATACACATACATTATTTATTTATTTTATTTTTAACATAATAAAAATTGTTAATTTTAAACAAAAATTACTGCAATTAAAAAATTTTTTTATTAAAAATTGAAAACAATAAAAATTATTCTAATACTAATTAATTAACTGGCTACATTAAGTTATTGTAAAAGTCGGTGTAATACTTTTTAATGTGATTACTTTTAAATAAAAACAATATGCATTTTTTCTTTTATTTTTATTTAACTGTGGAGCGCTTGTTTCAAAGTATTGCAACTCGAAATATGAGTTATAACAAAACTTTTTACACAACTTTATAGAGAAAAATTGACACAAGTCAAAATATGACACTTTTGATGTGCGAACAATGGACAATTCGAGAAACTGTAAAAACAACAATAGCAACCTCTATGGCACTTTTACAAATAAAAAGTATAAGGTTTTATTAGATTTGCCGATATAATACAAAAATTGCTGCTCTTTGAGTTGTGTCACTTTTGAAGAAGGCACTTGGTTTTATAAAAATAATTAGGGAATGACTACTTTGTGTTATCAGATAAGGATTATTTTGTGTTATCAGAATAATAAAATAAGATAATTATTTAATGTTTGACATTTCATGGCACACATCGCACCTTCTCTTCAAAGGTGACCTAAGTCAAAACACACAAATTATGAGAAAATGAGATTGAAAAAGATTTAGTACGATTTTATAATTTTATATACAAAATAGTTATTATTATAAACGTCGGATTTTTTGAGTTGTGTCGCTTTTTATGATTGTGACTTTACAACAAAAAATTTGATTTATGACATCAATAATAACTGTAAAGTGGTAGCTATAGAAAAAAATTATTTCGAAAACAATAATAATAAATAAAATACCTATGGCGTAATACCTTTAAATAAAACCAAGTCTTTTTTCTTTTATTTTTTTTGTTCTGTGGTACGCTTGTTTCAAAGTGTTAAAACTCGAAATATGACGTTATAAGAGAAAAGTTTTACACAATTTTATAGATCAAAATTGACACAAGTCAAAATATGACACTTTTGATGATCGAAAAACAGACAATTCGAGAAATTTTAAAAGCCATATTAGCGACCTCTATCTAATAATTGTAGAAACGGACTTTAGACACGTTTACAGATGAAAACTAAGGTTTTTATTAGGTGTGCTGATATAAAACAAAAATTACTGCTTTTTGAGTTCTCTTCTGAAGAGGGGTGCGACATAGTTTTATTAAAATAACTAGGGAATTACTACTTTGTGTACCTCAATTCTTAATCAACAATAATTCATAAAATTTAGTTTTGTATTATAGCCACAGAAAAAAACATCCACAACATCCTTCATATTTTAACGCGGTTGTTATGGCAAATCAACGCATTGAAAATTCCATTGCAGCTACATTTGAATTAAATAAACTTTAAAAACTAAATCTTACTTATTGGATGGACTTAAATTGAACTGAACATATTCTACAGCACATGGAAGAATTAGTTGCATTTCTTCAGATATGCCTCCCACTTTGACATTCGTAAGTTTACAGCCCTCCAAAATGTATAACACGCCATACAAAGAAGCTATCCTGGACGTCAAATAAGGACTTTTCAGGTACTGAACCAACGTTTTCTTCAGTTGTTCGTACGTTTCCAAATCCTAAAATTATTTGTAAATATAATTTCTTACAAAATTTTTTTTCGTGTCACATTTTTTAACCATTAATAACTTTTTATCTGTTCGGTACACCTATTTAATTATTTTTGGAGGGCAGGTGGGTTTGAATATTCTATTTTGACTGAAATGGGACGGGACTGAACTTACATGATTTTCCAAGATGTTGCATTTATAAAACGGATTTACCGAAAATTGAGCTAATTAATACGTCTTTTCGGTAAACAAACTATCGGAAATGATTCAGTAAAAGCGAAACTACCAACAATTTTAGGATTTAGAAAATATGATTATTTTTCTTAAATGATGCTCCCCATAAGTCATGAATTTATATTGGAGTTTATTAAGGAACTTTGTCATCTAGTTGTCTTCAAAAACTAGAAACATTGTTACTAAATTGGTTACTGTCAAAAAGTGTGCAACAACTGTTTGTATTTTTAAATATTTATCTTTGAGTCTTTGAGAACCATAATTTTATTAATGGGTATCTCACAAAATTTTTTATTATAATGGGGATTTTTTTAGATAAAGGAACCATAATTTTGACAAATTTTTATACAAACTTTTTAACAGTTGGCAATTTACTACGAATTTAATGAATATTGCTGAATAAAATACTGAAGCAATTGATAAACAATCACAAACTGACGTTATCTACACATATTTTTCTAAAGCATTCGATATACTTGACCACGGAATAATATTGAAGAAATTATTAAATTTTAATATTTCCGGTTCCTAACTTTATTTGAATCGTACTTATCAAATCGCAAGGCAGTTTTGTAATGTACAATGGGTTTTAATCAAATCTATCTAATATTTACCAACTGCTGGTATTCCACAGGGTAGTAATCTAGGCCCCTTACTCTTCAACATTTTTATTAATGATATTCTAGAAAAAAATCGATGTTGAGTGCTCGTTATATGCTGACGATTTAAAAATATATTGCCACATTTAGAAACAGTGCTCTGTAAATAAAACTGACATTGAATGCTCCCAAGTGTAACGCGCAATATTTCTGCTGGAATTTGCGCAATTTTTTCATTGATATTTAAGTATTCTAATGTCTGTGGGCGATTAATATTGACTAATTTTCAAGTATTCCAGCAAGAAAAAATCTGCTGCCGTCAAATCAGGGGAATGAGGCGGCCACTCAATATCTCCATTTTTTAGAGCAGCCTCTCTAATAAGACGCTGTGTGGCATGTAGCATCATCCTGCTGGAACCAGAAGTGTTCTACGCCAAGTGCTTCCACCTGTGAGGTTGCAGAAATTCTCGTATTATGATTCTATATAATTCTCCCATAACGTCAACTGCACTGCCCATTGCAGCTTCAAAGAAGAAGGGTCCAATGATTCTTTAGGAGCCTATTGTACACCAGAAAATGGCTTTTTGATCAAACTTCACGTTCTCTTGATTAAGATATAGGCAAACATTTGCTTCGTCGTTCTTTATCAAATTTTTCCAAAAATTGGGTCCATCTTCCACTTAGTTTGTAACGATTTGTGCGTATTGAAAATACAAAAAAAAATTTCGATGTCATATTCCATGAAATTTTTTAGTTTTTTGAGAAAAACCATTATTTTTTTCTTTGTTTTTCTAATAAAACTTTGGTTATTCTGTAGTTAATGCCGCTAAACCCAGAGAGAGCCTCCATGGAGCCCACCATTGTTTTCTATTTCAAAGTCCGTGTTCCAGAATCATCGAGAACGACATTCTTGGACCGATTTCGTCCTTATTGTGACTCATCAGCAAGAAATAGACATTCTCACTTCCAATCTCTAATGAAACCTGCAGATACGTTGAACTTTATCACTAGTCATGGCCGGTGTGAATCGGAATTCACAAAGTAATTTATTTATTTTATTTATTTATTTATTGTCTTAAGTACACTACAGAAATATGAATTCCAAATGGCACAGTCTTAAAGCTAAAACAACAATTGAAGTATAAGTATATACATATAAAAAAAAACCGAATATATAAATATCAAAACTCTTCAGAAATTTTAAAATACATTTAACGTCTAAAAAACAAAGTCTAACACCATACAAGACAAGAAACAACCTAAACTTTTAAAATTCGAGCATCCTCTTAACAGATAATAACGTACAATTAAAAATATCACAGTGAGAATAGTGCTTATTATAGTTGCACAAAAGCCTATTCATGAAAGCTCTTTGTCCATAGTTTGTACGATGGGTTTTCTCAAAGAATAGTTGTGACTGTCGAGTATGCCTTAACGGAACAACGAACTTTACTTGGCATAACAATTTTTCACAAATAATGTCTCCATTAATTATTTTGTAGAGCAAAAGTAACATTGCATCCCTGCGTCTCCGTTCAAGAGTTTGCATACCACAGAGTAGCAGTCTCGTTTCATACGATAAATCCCGATATGTAAAGTGAAACTTAAATAGCAAATATTTACAAAATTTGTTTTGAACTCGTTCAATTCGGTTGACATAAATAGCTTGTGACGGAGACCAAACAGTACTGCAATACTCTAAAATACTTCGGATCAAACCACTGTACAAACATGTTATTGCTTTAGTGTCTTGTATATGCTTTGTGCTTCTTTTTATGAATGCTAATAGCCTAAACGCCCTCAGAATGATAGTATCAACATGTAAAGAAAAGGATAATTCCCTGTCGAATATTACCCTAAATCATTAAATGTGGAGACGCTCTCCAGCGTAGTATTATTAATGATATATGAGTTTTCGACGGGGTTAGAACGTCTGTAAAATGATATAACTTTACATTTTGATATGTTTAGTTCTAAATAGTTAGAACTGCACCAAGAGACAAATTGATCTAAATCAGACTGTAGGGCGTTATAATTAGGTTCCACAATATTAAAAAAATTTAAATCGTCAGCATATAAGAGACAATGAGAATTTTTAAAACAGGACACTACATCATTTATAAATAACAAAATAAAATAGGGCCAATATGTGAACCCTGGGGTACACCCGAAGACACTGTCACTTCCCGCGACACAGAACCATTCACTGTAACACGCTGCCGACGGTTAATAAAATATGATTTAATCCACTTAAGGTAATTGCCTGTTATCCCAATTTCAGATAGTTTCTTTAAAAGTAACTGCTGACATACACTATCGAGCGCCTTAGAGAGGTCGGTGTTAATTGTATCAACTTGGTAACCAGCTTCAACCGAAGAGGTAATAAACTCCTGATAAATAGCCAGAATAGTAGTTGTTGAACGGCCTCTGTAGAAGCCATGCTGCTCATCTATTATGTAATTCTTAAACGTGTAAAATAATTCATCTGTTAAGATTGATTCCAACAGCTTAGGAATTGCTGATAGCATAGAAATGCCTCGATAATTTTTTATGTCAGATTTATCCCCGGACTTAAACATTGGAACCAAGTTAGAATATTTCCATCTGGACGGCACATATCCTCTGTCGAATGATCTCTGAAAAATTGTGCACAGTGGTGCAGATAAAGCAGGGCACTTCTTGAGAAGGATAGGTGGTATTCCATCTGGACCAGAACCTTTAGAAGGTTCGAGATCCAACATTTTCTTCTTTATTTCATCTTCTTTAAAGATGTGAAATGAGAGATGGGAACCAAATTTGACTGATTCCAAGTGATTTAAGTCAAGAGTGCTGTGGTTACTGTAGCAAGACTCAAAATGTAGTGCAAAAGTATCAGCGATAGATGAAGGTGTTTTTAAAGTATCATTGTTGTATTTCATGATAGACGGCATATGTTCTGTACGTTTTAGGCTATTAATAAATGTCCAAAAATATTTTACATTTTCAGGAATTACATGTTCAATATTGCTAACAAAAGTAAGGTAGCATAGATCAATGCGATATTTTACCTCACGTCGAATGTCGGAATATGTTTTGTAGTCTGAAGCATATCCAGTCCTTTTAAATTTATTATATGCTCTGTTTTTTCCAGATATTAGTTTTATCAGAGGGCCATCATACCATTTTGGATATTTTTGTTTTTTTATTTTTCTTTTAGGAACATATAAGTCAATGGCCTTAAAAAGGTGTTTATAAAACATATCCACCATTACATCGAGATCGACAGTACTGTATAAAAAAGACCAATCAGTTTGTTCCAAAAATAAGTTAAGTTTAATAAAATCTGCCTGAGGATACTGATATATCAATAGCTCATGATTAATTATCAAAGGGCCAGTGAAACTAAAACTTAAAATTGTTTCTAAACCAGGATGATGGTAAGAATCTAAAGGTAACAAAGGCATTTGAGATTCTATTACAGAAATGTCATTAAAATCGTCTGCAAAAATTAAGTCCAGGAATCTTCTACAGCTGTTACGGATGGAATTCAATTGCTGAAACTCGAGAAAAAACATCGATTCAACTAAAACTGCAGCCGACTGCGTCGGAACTCGATTGGGGACAAGTACATTATCATCTAAATACCACTGAATGTCTGGAAGATTAAAGTCTCCATTTATAATAAACTTAGTATTTTCGTAAGTATTTTTTAAATTTTCACAGGTGTCGCAGAAGGATTGATAAACTTCAGAATTCGAATTTGGGGGAAAGTAGACATTACCCAAAATAAATTTAAAATTTTATGCCATCTACACGTAGTAAGCCAAATCAAAGCTGACTGTGGCACTTAAGTCATAAAACAATACGGAATAATAACCAATAATAAGCAATTTAAAAGTAAAAATAAGTGAAAAATAAAAAACTCAGTATGTGACATGGACTTCTTCAGCCTTGTTTTATAGACTAGGTACCAAAACGAACGATTTTGCTAACTAAGTGTAGATGGCGTTACTTTTAAGGCTGAGCGATAAATAATCGGTTATTTTCGATTAATTAAAAAGAATCGATTAATCGAAATCGGCGATTAATCGTAATAATCGATTAATCAAAAATAATCGTGTAATCCAAAACAATGAATTAATCAAATATAATCGATTTAAAAAAAATTAATCGACTAAAAGATTATTTTGCTAATCTCTACCTGGAATAGCGAGATATAATAGAGGTTGCGTTCGCGGTAACAATTCAGAATTGATAAAGTATGAATTAGTAGTTTTGAATCAATTCAGGATTGTTACAACGAACGAAGCTATTAACCACACTTAATACAAACTCAAATTAAAAAAGGTTAATTAAATATGTTACGTTTTAAAGTTTTACACTATAATTATTTTAAAAGCAAGCTAGTGTGATTGGGTGTTTCGATTAAAACTTGCTCCTAAAAAAAATAAAATAAACAAAAACATGAAGGACAATGGGCAAAAATTAAAAAAAAAAAAGATATTTTTAAGGAGAACATTTCTCTTCATTACGACTCAACTCCTTTACTTGTCCGTTCCGAGTTACATCATCCTAAATGTAAGTAATGTCACGATAGGCCAGTGCTTATATTCTGTTAATGTAGTGCTTATTACAGGCAGATAATAGTAATTATTACTTCTTAGTAATATAAAGACAATTATAGTATCCGGGTATATCATATGATGCTGTCGAAGATTTTATCCGCTACGTGTATCCCATATAAAAGGAACCTCTACGTGTTGGTTACATGGCCCTACGTATGCTTTGCAAAGGACCAGGTCTAATGGTTCAAGACCATAGAATTGATTATTTTAATATAAGTTTTAATTCAAAATAATTTTACTTCATAACATTTTTCTGTATTGTATTGCTCTTGAGTAAAATTAATATTTTTTTGACAAACCTCGTATATGGCTTAAAAAATTGATATCTGATAGTTATATTTCAAGTTTTGGACCATGCAGAACTTTTTATCAAAAATACATTTTTTTACAAAACCAATAACTAAAAAGTTTTCCTTATGGTTTCACCTTAAGTAGACATACTGTATAACTCGGAACGGACAGACAACTGAGAAAAGTCATAATAAAAACAAATGTTCTCCTTACCGACATCTTTCATTTGGTATATATCTTACTCCTATTGGGAGGTGGGGCGAAACTGCCCATTCTCCTTTTAACATGATTTTCAACACATTTTTTTATTAGATTGAAAGAAAATTATGTTTTTATTTCCTTTAAAGTCGATTCATAAAGAATAATCGATTCTTAGAAAATAATCGATTATCGATTTTTCAAAAAAATTTGATTATTTTGCTCACCCCTAGTTACTTTGCGACTGATCCTCACATAACTACCGGCCATGACTACCGGGGAAGTTTAACGCATCTACAGGATCCATTAGAGACTGAAATCAAGAATATCTATTTCTTACTGATGAGTTTTAATAAGGATGAAACCGGTCCAAGAATAATATTCTCCCTAGTAAGCAAAATAAAAAGTTAAGTGTTGAAAATTATTTTCTATTTCTGCTATTTTCCTTTGGATGTTGCGGTATTGGTCAAAGAAGTAGTTGTTTTCAGGAGCAAAACGGTCTCTCGATGTTACTATGACACGTACTGTTTTCATCTTTTTCCTTATTTTTATTATTATAAATAATTAATTATAAAAAAGTGAACGCCAAAATAAAAAAAATTAAAAAAAATAGAAATCAATTTCGGCCTACTTTGGGTCTACAGCATTAACTGTAGAATTAGAAAAAAAAAAAAAGAAAAATATGTCGATGGCTTTCCAAAAAATTGAAAAATTTTATGGAAGCTACATTCACAAATGAAAATTAATAAGAAGTCTCTTTTGGTCAAATTTTAAAAATGTTATGGGTATTTAACAAAAGCCATGTTTTTGAAAACATTTTGTGCAGGTCTTCCAGTATGCTTTATATCACTCACAATTTTGAAAAAAGTTTTGGAAATACAGTTAAAACTTTCTGGCGCATTTTTGAGACGAATAACGTTCCATAACAAAATTCTGCTTGTTTTTACTTTTACACACTTCACTTTTGACAGTTGTCGAGGAAACAAAATTATAACAATATTCCACAGCCAGATATATTTTGCCGCATCCATTATATATAGATTGTGTTAAGTAGATAATGTTATATCACATAAAAAAATTGTAATTTGAAATATATAACCCTGTACTTAGTTAAAACTGTTGAATGTTGTAATTAAATTAATAAATAAAATTTAGTAGCTATGATAACCCAATATTTCTAGTTTTAAAGCCAAGTGGTGAAAAAAATTATTAGTAAACTCTATGAATTATGGGGCGCATCATTTAACCAAAATAATCATAATTTCTACATATTCATAATCAAAATTGTTGGCAGTTTCGATTTTAATGGAGCATTTTCGATAAAAGACATTACCTCAATTTTAGCTAAACTTGATTTCTTTTGTAACGAGATTTAATACAGCATTTTAGAAAAAGTTCTGTCTAAAATTTTTAAACCAAAATTGGACACCATATAAAGAATACACCAGGTTACCTACCATCTAAAAACTAATTAAATAGGTGCAACAGCTAAAAAGTGTTTAAAGGTTAAAAACTTGGTCCACAGTGTATGTATTAAATATTTAATTTACCGGAGACAAAACAGCCACAGCTTTGCAAATCCCTATAATTAAATACTGATGTAAAAATTCGTTTTCTGAAAAATGCAATTTTGACATTTCCAGAAATACTTCCAGCATCCAACTAAATTGCGTTTTATCAGTGAAAAGGTCAGAAATCATAGTAATAGATCTAACAGCTTCGTGAAGAACTCTTATAGGGGTACTTGACTAAAAGGAAACAGTGATTAATAGATTTAAAACAATCCAACCAATTTTTCTACTTACTTGCGGTCTCATGAGTTGAGTATAATAGTCGATTAAAAATTGCAAACAAGAATTCACATCTAAACCCATGGCTTCCAATCGCTTTGTTCTGTGCCTAAAAACTTCCACTACCGACATATTTTCTTGCATTTCCTCCATGGAATTCGTTGCTATGAGCATATATTTTACCGACATTTGTCCGCAAGAGTAATTGTCTGAAGACTTTTCAAAATTACGAAGCTCAAACACGTTGTTAATTTTATAGTCGTCGGTATTGTGTGAAGAGTTTTGGTAGCTTTTTTGTAAGCTGTTTTGGATCTTTTTTAATTTTTGTACACTGCAAATAATAATAATAATAATATTAATAATATTGGTTTTATGTTGGAATAATTTAGAGGAAACATTTTGAAAAAAAAAAAAAAGGTAAAAGCAGGTCCATTTTTATTCTAAGGGGATACCTTTTTATTATATCCTCATTCCCTTTATGTCCGTTACTTAAACCAATACAATTTAACCAGGTAACGTACCAAGTATGACGCATCATTGGAAAAGTAATTTTATGGTGAATTCAATACGACTGTTCTCAAAGAAGCAAATATTTTCATAGTAAATGACAATAAAAAAGAGAGCAAGACAAAAATGTTTCGTAAACACTACAAAATAGCAAAACAGAAAAATCTGCAAGCAAAAATTAGAGGTCATGTCTTAAAAATAGAAGGTAAAACATACAATTATGAAGATCTAAAGAAAAAATAATTCATATTCAGAAGATGAGGATAATGAAAGATGAGCAAGAAAACTTAATAGAAGAAACCAAAATAAGAAAAGAAAGTGACATAAGTGCTTCCAGCAAAAATCCAGTAAATAAAAGAAAAAAGTAGAATTTCACATATTTTAAAACTGAATTGACAGTAAAAACATCTTCAACACATAAAACCGTAGGTCAACTAGGAAATAAATATCTATAATATAGATTTTATATAATAATATACTAAAACAAATAAAAGAAATTAAATCGAAGCTTTCTTCAGAATTTGGCCCTTTCGGACTTGGCGCTAATGCATTACTGAGGACTATATGTAGAAGACCTCAGTAGTTACGATATACCTACAAATCTTCAAACTTGGAAAACAAAATCAATAACATGAAATATATTTTGAAAATTGACAAAATAAAAATTTGTTTACCCTACAGAGCTGTCGTCGATCGGCGAATTTCTAGAAATATGCATTAATTTCGATATATTTGGATCTCCAACTACTGGATCCGTCAAAGTTTCCAGTAACAGGGTGGTGATTGATTTCATTGCCAAACTAGATGCATACAAAACGTCATTTAGTTCCAAGGGTTCTAAATTATCAGTCGGAGCGCACAGTACGCTTAATAGGCACATCCACGTCTCTTCGAATTGTTGTCTTGACGTCCAACCGAGTAGATTTATTCTGTAAACAAAATTAACATTATTTAAGATAATCTTTCGTACTTGATTGTTGTTCAAAAATGGCATGCATTTTGCACATAAATAAATAATATATAATAAATATAACAACAATATATTTTTTTTATTCACAATGAAAATTGTGTAGCTTAATATTGACACCCTATATTTCATGAAAACAGGCTGAAATTCATTGTGATTGTTGTTGGTTTACGTAACATGAAAATAATCGTCAGACGCCACAGAACTGGTAGAAATGCCGTCAGTCAGATCTGTGCGGTATTCAAGTACAAGTACTCGATAGCTGTACTCTAAGTACATTTAGTGTACTTGGTACTCAGTCCAGAGTACATTAGGATCCTATGTATTTGTACTTGTACTTTCACTGTATTGAGAACGTTTGTACTCAAGTACATTTTAGAGTACTGTAAGTACTTTTGAATGTACTTAAGTACTTCAGACAAATAAGTACTTTAAGTACTTTTGAATGTACTTAAATACTTCACACAAATACAAATATTGCGCAGTTCATATTTGTTTAGACTTGTCTCAATCTCAGTCTGTCTGTTCCAACTGCCACGTGCAATGTTTGATTCGATTTGTCGGTAGCCGAAGTTAAGTTAGTGAACTTTATCGTATAAAAAGATAACCGCTTGACTTGAAATATATAATATGCTCGAAGACTATATTTAATCAAACTTGCAGTGCCGGACTGGTCGATTTCCGGGACCCTAGACATTACAGTGCAATTTTGATTTTGGACGCATGTCTTGAGGCACTGTTTAAACGGTTTTCCTCTGTTTTTCATTTAGAATGTGAAGAAGCACTAATAGCCGCAGTTTCTTGTCCAAAATTTAAACTTCGGTGGTTCAACACCCTAAAAACTGAGCTACAGTCCCAGACAGGAATCTCACTGGACAGTGTAAAACAAACATTTATTTCATGTGCTGAACGGCTGTTTGTTAAATTCTGATAATGTTGATAATGACAATGGCAGCAATGATAGTAATGAACACGATGCTGAAAACGAATATGACGGTTTTTTTGATTTTGACGAAATCGAAACATCAGAATCTAAGAAATCTAAGAAAGTAAACAAACACGATAAAAGGAGATCAATAGTTGAGTTGGAGCTTTTACATTATCTTGAGGATAAATAAGAGAACCGATCTGTCCATGCTGGATGACTACCCAACAATAAAAAAAGTGTTTATACGGTATAATACATGTTTACCATCTTCTGCTGCAGTGGAGCGACTTTTTTCATTTGCAACAATGTTAAACGACCCTCGTCGCCATACTCTTACTGATGCAAATTTTGAAAAAATTGTAATATTAAAGGAAAATAAAATTGGTTCCTAGAAAGGTATAGATTTTATTGTGTTATTGTGGTCATATCCAGAGTTAATCAACTAAATACAACACAAAATGTTCTGTAGTACTCAGTATTTAGTTGCCCGACTGTGGATATCTAGTATATTTAAACCTATACTAGTATATACATATAGTATACAAAAGCCATAATATTATACAATAAAAAATTAATTATTAATGTACTTGGTACTCTGTACTTACAAAAGTACTCGAGTACTCATTAAGTGTGCTTTTCTACGTTATGTACTTGGTACTCGAGTACTTTTTGGGAAGAGTACTTGTACTCTGTACTTAAGTACTTTTTTCTTGTACTTGGAACAGCTCTGCCGTCAGTTGGGCCTCCGAAGTGTAGCACAGAGTACACTCTATAAACATACGACGACATTGGCTCTTCCTACTTTCTATCTTTATCTTTGAATAGATTGCCGCTGCAATAGTCCAATTCGTCTATATCGGATCATCTCAGTGAGGTAGCGAAAGATAATTGAATTGGCTTACTGAAGTCAAATACAAAGTTAGGTCATATTTTTAGTAATATATCCGTGTCATGCTATACTCAAAAGTTGCATCGTAATGACATATACACCCGGTAGCGACTCCTTTTTTTGAATATTATTGAGATATAGTATTTTTTTTTTTTGAAGAATCTTTAAATGGAAGCAGAAATGTTATTTCTCTTGCGGTGTTATTTTATAGTTGACTTATTTTTTAATACAGTTATACCAATAACGAACAACGGCAATATAATAAGATGTCAAGTCGAGCACAAAAACCCTACGCTATGACGAAAATGCCTAATCGTTCCTTTTCCAATAAAAAGTCGCCAAACGCGTTCTTTGAATGACGTCACATATATATTTACGGAATTTTTAAGTACTACGGTGTTATTTGTTTTAAGTGATTTCATATTTTAAGGGGAAGTAAAGTTTTTCAACTTTTTTTTGCATTTTTTTATATTTGATATTGTGAATGGAAAACCTTTCAAGAATATTGTGTGAAAATTTGAGATGAACCGGGGCAAAACTAACGAAGATACAACGGTTTGAGTAACCGCGCCTCATACATCGCGCGCATCAGAAAATACCTGCCCGGCCCGAGCGCGCTATTGTTACCTGGCAGCAAGGGCGGCTCCAGGGGAGGGGGCTATGGGGGCCATGGCCCTCACCGAGATGTAATAAATTCTTACGAATTATGAGCCTTTTATTAAAAAAAAAATGCTAAAAAGAGAATGGCTAAAAGTAATGGCCCCCACCGAAAATTCGTCTCGGAGCCGCCCTTGCCTGACAGCTGTTTCGCTTATAGAAATTTTAACCCAAGTACAGATGTGTTTATATCTGTACTGTATATAATTTAGTGTAGCATTGGCCTGGCATGTTCTTTTGCTTTACTAACCTACATGCAAGACATAGGAATCAATAGTGAATCAAGCGCTCATGAATGAGGATTCGTCGTATGCAGGAACAAAAAGATGCTTTAGACATCATGAATGATAGCAACATCCTTTATGGACCTGGCATCGATGATTCAGTGTGATAATTTTTTAGTGTTCAAAACTTTAAAGCGTTTTTCTCACAACTCATGTTTCCAAAGTCGGTGCCCCTCATAACTTAAAAACTACTGCACCTATCCTTTTGAAATTTTGAACACTATTTCTGTACATAATTTACGAGGTAATGCTGGAGAGCTTTTTCAAATTTGTTAATATTTTTTCATTTTATAATAACAAGTTAGCCTATTTTTTCGCAAGAATCGCGTTTTTTACTTCAAAGTGTTCCCAAAAAGTGAAAAATTGAAATTTCGAAAAACCCTCCCTGCGTTACCTGGGGAAAACGATTATCTAATGAGAGAACTTTGATTTTTTTATTTCTGACGATCCAGCACCGAGTTAGGAGGGGCACCGCAATTCTACTTTTTTCCGAGACGCTTCCGAATAATTGCTACCATTTCCGTATTTTTTAATATTTCTACATGAAAATTTGACACAATATTCTTTGAATTATATACTTTAATGTACCATTAGTTTAAATAAACTGATTTTAACTGTGTCGTCAAAAAAAATGTACCTTTTTCTGTACGAATTAACCTTATCCCCCCCCCCCTTAAAATATATAACCTCCCTAGAAGCGTTTTTGTTACAAAACACTTTTGTTGTTCTCCCAATCGTACATCATTTAAAGTCACGTGATTTGGATATTGTCTAATTACCCAGCAACCACAGGAAAATATTTTTATAAGTATAGCTGTGATAACTGTGCATAACATTACCAGTAATTTCCTACTCAAACAATCTTCATACTGTGATTTCTTTTAACATAAATAAAGAATAAGATTGTTGCATTAAACAGTACTATATAATATAAAAATTCTATAATATATTCTCAACACAGCATTTAAAGAAGAGTTTTGTTTTTGTTCTATAACATTAAATTTTTACACTACAATTGTATTATTGTAGAGCTGTTCTATACTGATGTTGTAACAGTGTTCTTTAATGGATGCCAAAATGTTCACAGAACTAATAGTCATCTGCAATACTTATAGGATGAAAGTATTCTAAAACTGTGCCCATTTTCACTCTATAGTTGCTGTATTATCATTTTTAAAGTGTTCTTAGAACACATTTTGGTGTAAACGTTCTTAAAGAAATGATAGTACTCAAAATTGTTACTTGGACGATTCTTCACAAGAATCGCTCATTTTTAATTATACAATATATTAACTTTTTCATCCTGACTCCAGGAGAATGGTATAGAAGCACAATGCTATTGAATAGAGAGAAATAGAATATACGTTGTTAGGTGCAGAACGCAATATCCTATGATTGCTATCGAAAGAGCGAAGTTAAATCAATTACTTTCTTTAATTAAGCCTTTTATCTTTATTTTTCGTGATGCGTCGGGTTAACATACTATACCTATATCTCAATAACTAAATATACTGTTAATTAGTTGAACAGAATTTGTCACTTATTTAAAATTCTAAAAAATAATAGTAGCCCGGCCACAAAATATGAACTGTGATTGGTGGATTTTATATCCATACAATATCCTTATCAGAATGAATATGAAGTTATATCCATTCAGTAGAATGTAATGTCCTTCTTTTTCGTTCTGTAGTCTATGCATAGAATAGATAATATCCATGTGGGTGTAGAAAAAATTAATTTGAAATAGATACGTCTCGCGACGTTAACTGATATGAAACACTAGGCTGATTGACGAAGCTAGTAAAGCACAAAATATGTATTAAAAAAATTAAATAAAAACTGTGTTTCTAAATACGGTTATTTGATATCTATACTGTATTTTCAAATAGTAATTTATTTAGTCTTTTTGTCTACAGTAAGGAAATTCATTTCCGTTGAGATTTGGCAGATATATTATTATTATGTACAAAAATAAAATCACCACAAAAAATGTTTCAAAAAATAGACCGCGACTGACAAGAGCCGAAATTCAAACTGTCATTTTAAAAAAAAAAGAAGAATTGACCGCTCCAACATAAATCTTTTTCCATGGCTTACTTCAGAAATATTGTTTTGTGAATCACTCCATATCTTACCTGTAGATATATTCATGTAGTACTTCAATATCCTGTAACATATCGATTGGAAGAGCTGCCACAACGGTTCCGAATTCTCCCTCCATTTTGTCCGGTTGCCATCCCGTTTTCCAGGCCCGGTAGGGAATCAAGGCGTAAGAATTAACGAGCGGCATGCGCGCTAAACAAATCGTCAAACTTTTTATCCTGTTGAATAGAAAATCGGGGATTTTTGTGGAATTTACAGATTTTAATTCGAACAGCCAACAAGTCAATATGTACAACTGGTGCGTGGCCTGAACTGGACTAGAATCGTCTTTTAAATTATATTTTGGTACGGCCGCTAACGGTTTATCACTTCTTAATAACGTATTTACAAGACTGTAAAGACTATTTATACTGGAGCACAACCAAGTCACGTTGAAATCTAAACCTAAGAAGTAACAATTAATTATGTTTCGTAAAATGCAATCGCTAGCTGTCAAACATATATCCGTCAAGTGTACTCTGAAGTCCCTGTTCTGCGACTCCAAGTAGTGAACATACTCTAAACACAGAACGCTAAATTTGATCAAACCCTCCAAGTTGGCATCGGAAATTTTATAATATTGATCTTGGAGGATATTTTCAGAAAACAGAGGTATGCATTTAGCTATGCTGCACAAAAGAGTCGAAATTTCTTCGTTATCAAACAGTTCTATCATATGTTTAGTGTACAGGTACTCAGGAGTGGTGTGTTGTCTTTCAAACGGAGAGAAAACCTGAAAATAACCGAAAGAAATATAAAACGTAAAATTTAAGAGTATTTATTAAAATTGAATCATTCAATGTAATTACAATCAATAAAAAGAAATTACAAACTGGGAGATTCCACATCAAGTGGCGCCCAACGTGGGGCAGATAGCTAACGAAATGGCGGATAGCCAAAAGTTGGCAAAGGAACTTTGGACAAAAGAAATTAATTTGGTAAGACCTTTGATCTATATTTAAATTGTTGATTCATTTGGAGAAAAGTGTGCAACAACAGTGTGTAAGTTAGTGTGCATGGTGTGTAAGTGGAATTTGGAATGTTGTTTAAATAGAAACAATAAAAATATAGGGTAGAAAGTTTGGGAAATTAAATTATGGGAACAAGAAATAATAGAGACAAGTAAAAGTTTATTTATAAGTGTAATATGAAAGTGTTAGTAAAATTGCGTGAAAGGTTAAAAGTGATTAGATGGACCTGCAAGGAAGAAATAAGGTTGGTTTGATGGAAGACAATGAGAGAGATACAACGAATAGAGCTTAGAACAAGTAGGACAAGAAGTTATGGAGAAATTTTAGACAATAGTTATAAAAGAAAAAGAATATGAGGAACAACTGTAATTGATTATTATACTTAGTAAGAAAGGATAGTGTTGAAACTAAAAAGAAGGAAGAAGCTGTTAAGATAGAAAATTGGATGCAGTTGTTCTTCCTTAAAATGGATGAAAATAGAAAGAAAGATGTGGAAGAATTGATGAAGTTACTAGATGAAAATAGAAACGAAGCTAAGGAAGAATTGATGAAGAAAATAGCAAGGAGGATAAAAAAGAATTATATGATATAATTGGAAATCAAATTCAAGAAAGCAATAAGAAGATGAATAATGATATGGAAAATCACCAGATAGTGAGAATGTGTGTCACTGTCAAAATTAAAAGTTAATTTAACAAAGCAGGGCGGTTTTAAATCTAGAAAATTAATTAGAAAAAATATCAAATTGTAAAGTCGGATATTTTTTTTGTTGATTATGAATTTGAGAAAAATCAGATATAAAATATTGAATGCTGGGATATATAAGTTAGAAGGGATTTTGTACCCTTATGAATTTGACTGAGGGAGAAAGCAGAGCAGACAAGAAACAGTAGATTGAGAAGCAGTGGCGGTTTGTGACCAAAATATTAGAGGATCACAATGACAGAATATAGATCTCTACAAATTTAGGTAAAAAAAATGCTCACTGTTTTAGAAAGGTATATTATAAACACGAGCCGCCACTGAAGAAGCACGAACAGTAGCAGGAGAGTAGCCGGAGACGAAGTAAAGAAGAGGCGGCAATTTTTTATATAAATAAAATTTGTTGTGTAGGGTTGAACCCGCTCCAATTTGATATTTTTTTTATTGATTGGAATTGCATATACAGGGAGATTCCTTATCACTATATTTACCTGATGAGGTTCATATATTTTAAAAACGATACTCGATACATCTTTAAGTAGACAGTCAATACTAGCTCTAAGAAGATCGCACCCTTCGTTAGCTCTTAATTTATTCAGATTCACCAGACCCAGCCTCAAACAATCTCTCAAAATGTTCTTGTTGAATCCGCTGCTCGACATAAAGCTGAGTATTTCATTGTATTCGATTTTGTTTAAGAGTTCGGCCATAAATCTGCCTATGCTCGAGTCGTTGTATTTGGTTTGTATTTGAGATAAGTACCATTTTTTGTCGACCTTCAATTTTTGAATATATTCCGGTTTGACGATGCGACGCTGTTCGAATTCTATCGGACTTAAATCGTAGTACTGTACAGAGAGTTTGTTAAGAAGACTAACTACGGTTTCATTTCTACAATTAAAATAAATCAAGGTTGTATTATGCTGTTCACAATGTGTTTAAATCTGGATTGGATATGAAAGTTTGAGACGTTTCACTCTGTGTTTATAAAAATGTAAATATACCAATATAGTATATTACATTACGAGTGTGGAAAATCACTTTTCACACAAGTGATGTACAATATTTTTCCTACGACATCAAAAAAATGTAAAACCAAGGTTATTATTACTATAATAATTCAAATGTATTTAAAAAAATAATCAACAATAATCGTATTTATTCAATTTTCATATTTTCTAAACTAAAAAAACTAATAAAAAAAAAATAAAAAAAATTTAAAAAACAAAAAAAAAATTCTGCCCCACCAGGATTTGAACGCGGTCGAAAAATGGAAAAGTTGATAAGTTCGACGTCCTAACCACCTGAGCTAATAGCCCTTGTGTCAATTGAATGATCTAATCGGTTATGTATTTAACCAGAACAAAGAGCAAACATTATTTTAAAATTATTTTAATAATAATTGTTAAAGATAAATATCTAGGATCTAATTTACAACAATTTCAATAATTTAACAATCATATCGATTTTAGTATTAATATGGACATTACATAGATCAAAATAGAAATTAGGTGTTTGACATTTTGTGACAACTACTGCGGAAAGTAACATATTCTCACTCGGGTGGAAAGTAAATTCTTATTCATACGCGTGTGATATAGGGCACTTTCCATAGGACTATATAGTGTGATATGTGTCACTTTCCTAAGTGGTTGTAGGAAATCTTTTTTTCCTAATAGACATTTTTCCTATACATAGAGTGGCCACTTTTTTAACTATACTAGTTAGAAGGTCGGTTAAATGGAGAAAAAGTTGCGTATTTTGAAGCATCATTTAGTGGTGGAAATTAATCCAAAATATCAGGACCGGTTCTTAAGACATGACGATAAAAAGAAATTCGATCATTTAGTTTTTTTTTTTTGTTGTCCTTTATTTATTTTCAGAACTATCAAAAAATATTATTGATTTTCGATAGTAAATTGTCTTTGATTTGCCGTTTTCAGATTTTGCATCCAATGTTTCGTTTTCCCCGGACCACCCTCAACTTATTTTTTTTTTAAATACGGACCTGTATATTTTATGGCACCATTCGAAAAAGCTTTTCATCCTGCATACAACGGTGTATCATACAATGACGGTTTTTGGGTAATATGGAACGTAATCCAAATTTTATTGATACGGATCTGCACTGAATTTACAATCAGTGTTGATTTTTGCACAATACTTCGAGCATAAAGTGATTAATTAAGAAAAAATAAATGAGAATAATTATCCAGTTATTGTTAAAAATGGGAAACTTGGTAGGTTTTTAAATAATACCAAACACTTGTTCTTCGGCAACGAATATTTTACGACTAACTCATGGAGGATCTATTTCGTCCTATGATAAACATGACATTCAATAAGTAAGCAAGAGAGAGCGCTAGATGCATCATAATAAGGAGGGTATTTCAAACTTTACAACACCCCCACTAGTTTGAAATAATAATTAAAAAAAAAGAAACTTACAAGCTTTCTAAACCCAGGTGTTTCAAAAACTTGTAATGTTTGTTTGCTCCCAAGGCTTTTGTCAGGATATCTGCAGGCATCTCATTTGTCTGCAAGTATTCTATATTGATCAAACCACTTGTTGCAGATTCTCTAATGAAATGATGACGAACATCTATGTGTTTAATCCTTTATGAAACATGGGGTTTGACGTAAGCTTTAGGGCAATTTGACTATCACTACAAATTGAAATACAATCAAATAATATGGCCTCCTTAGCTGCTTCTGGTAAGGTCATATTCGCTGTGTGCAAGACTGGTAGCGCTCTCTGGTGACGGGATAGCGACAGTTCTCCTCATTCATTCCTGCATACTTGCTATACACCTCACACTCAACAGTTGAACTTGAAAATTCTTTTTCAACAATTAAGTGTTGCAACAAGTTTTGTGTTCGCTGTTAGTTGATAGACTAACAAAAATTGTTTCTGTAGCACAAAAAGTAAGTAAATGACATAAAAATATTTGGAGGTTATGCATACAAAGTATCTGCGTTTTGAATGTCATAAATCAATATAATTTGTCTGTATTTTTAGATGCTACATTTTTGTCATGAGTGTCATCTTGTACACTGGATTTGAGAAAATATCTCATGACACAAACTTTCAGCCTGAGACGCCAAGAAAAGGAAATATTGTCGGTACATAACTTGGGCTACTTTCTTCTTCTCGTTTTTTATTTCCAATAAAATGACCACTGCATATATAATCATTCCGTTTTGGCACCCAAGGTGAACCATCAGCGCTGTGGAAAAACCATTAAATCTATTACGTTAAATAATTTATTTATCACTATTACTTGAGCATTCAAATACCGCTCCTACTTTCGATGTTTATGATATATATACGACAGAGGTTATGTTACTCACTTTTTTCTTTTCACAGCTGCTATCCATTTCTTTCTTTGCTCCAATTTATGTGATGCGGTTGGAAACGTATAAAACTTACACGCACTATTTTTGCTAGTGTTTTTACACTTTTAAACTTAATGAAGACACATGGCTCAAATTTGGATTTATTGTACCCTAAATTAGTTAAAACATCTTCGACCTTCTTGTACCACGAGAGAATTGTTTTAGGCCATAAATGGCACGTTTCAATTTTAACACATCTGAATTTACAAAACCTTCAGGTTGGCTCATGAAAATGGTCTTCTCTAAATGACCATGTAAAAAGGCTGTGGTTACGTTAAGATGGAAGATGTCTAAATCTAATTTTACACTTAAAGCTATTAACAACCTTAGAGTAGAGTGCCTAACAACAGGCGAAAAGGTTTCATTATAATCTATCCCTTCTATTTGGGTAAAACCCTTAGCTACTAACCTAGCCCGGTAGGTTTTATTGTTAGCACTATCAACCTTTACTTTGAAAACCCATTTACACTGCACTAAAGCACTACCTTCTGGCAAGTCTGCCAGTTCCCAAGTTTCATTGTCCTGGAGACTCTTCACTCGTCTGCCATGGCCTGCCATCAGGTCGTGATAAAGCCTCTGTAACACCTACTAGAGCTTCATTTGGGTAGTTCTTAACAGCTGGACTTAAATAAGTCACATATTCATCAAATTTTTTGACATTTTTTTGTCTTTCCGACTTTCTAGACACTACACTATCACTAAAAGACTTTTCTGATGTGTTAACTGGCACGTAGTCACTGTCACTTGGATTATCTGCTATTAAGATATCATCAATGGAACTGTCTTCTTGGATTAAGCTAACATCTGAGTTATCTTCCCCCACTGCAATTGGTAATTCTTCCTTGTTTTCAGCAACTATGATGTCAAAAGTCTTAGTATTTAGATTCTCATGGATATATACATCTCTGCTAGTTGTGACATCATTTGTTTTAGGATTATAAACTCGATAGCCTTTTATTTCTTCAGAATATCCTACCAAAATAGGTTTATTAGATTTTTTGTAAAATTTCAGACGTTCCTCTTTTGGAACATGTGCCATAATTGTACTACCAAAAATACGCAAGCCTGATATGTCAGGTTTTTTACCGTACCACAGTTCAAACGGAGTATTAAGGCCACTGGCGATACATCTATTTCTTAAATAGTTAGAAGTATTAACTGCCTCGCCCTCACTGGTTCAGTTGAATCTTTCGGCAACACCATTCTGTTTGGGAGTATAAGTATTTGTTTTTTGATGAATTATACCTGCTTTCTTTAAATAGCAGTCAAATTCTTTGCTACAAAACTCGTCACCTTGGTCAGTTCTATGAATCTTAATCTTCTTACCTATCTATCTATATGTTTTAATAAGATAAATAATTAAAAAATGTTCCCGATTCCGTTTTTGACAATACATGCTAAATTTCATATCTCAAGAACTGGTCCTGATATTTTCGATTAATTTCCACCGCGTTTCTTAAGAATTCAATGAAATTAAAATATAAGGTTAATGAAAGTGTCTTTTACGTAACTAAAAAAAATTAAATTTTTTGACTGGCTGCATAACGAGATATTAACAATCAAAATGTGTATAATTAACACTTTTGAAGCCTTAACACAAGCAATGCATTTATTTCAAGATATCTCGAAAACAGTTTTTACTACATTTTTTAAAAACCAATGTAATGTAAATCAAGACTCTATAAAATTTTCTAAAAAAAGGTGAATTTTATGACCGTTTTGAGATTATTTTTTAAGTTAAACATCAAATTCACAAAATAATATTAAACATAGTGAAATGTGTCAAACCTTCAAAGCAGTATGAACTTTTGACGTTTAATACCGTTTTATACTTACTTGTTAACTATATTTAAATCAACCAAATCCTTTTGTATCTGACATAAATTTTCTTTAGACAGTTGATTATGAACTTCTTCCATTGTCAGAGTCAATAGTATTTCGATTTTTCTGCTCGCTAGGTTACCAGCTTTTCTAGACACAGCTGATTGATGGAATTTCAGCATATCGGGTAATAGCAAATTTAGAACAGTACCTATTTGACTTTGATGACAGTTTTCTATGCACTGTAGAGCTTTTAATTTGTAAACGGACTAAAAATTAAACACACAGCTATATTAGTTATACTTTTTAAATAGTTCATAAGAAAAGTTATCATTTACAAAGTACTTAAGCAAAATTTTGTTCCATGTATTATTTTTAATTGATAATATTTGTAATAATTCTATTGGCTGCTTATCATGGAGCTAGAAGGTAGGGAGACATTATAAGCACCTTTTTCAAACAATCAAAACAGTACCACTAGGCGTGGCTAATATAGACTCAATATTGGGAATGGAACCCAAACCTTTTTTATAATTAAGGTTATAATAACTGATTTTTAGTAATTTCACCTATAATACAAAATTACAAAATCTAGATCCGGACCTGGACTTGTATATAAGAAGTTAGGCTAAATAAGAAGTATGTTTATGTTCTTTGGTTTTCTTATAAATAACGGTTCATTGTGTACTGGTTATTGTAATTCAGTCGCGTGTGATTTCAGTAGCGTGTTGATCTGAAGTAGTGAATTTAAAATGTTCAGTATGATAAATTATGACAATGAACTTGTGGATATATTGGTTATTTATAGTGAGTGTCTTCAGAGTGTATCTGCCGCATCAGTGTTGTACAGTTAACAGTTTCCCTTATGAGCCCATCTTAGGATTAGAACTTTCATTATTCTGGCTCAACGGGCTAGGAATACTGATGATTAGTGAGAACATCATTGAGGAAATGTAGAAATGCCAAGAAGACATTAAGCGTTTGTGTGGAAGTAAATGTGACAATTTTGAACACTTAATTTATTGGATATTGTATACATTTTGGAATACATTAATATAAGTTTCTTATTTTTGAGTTTTTTGAAAAAAAAATATTTTAAAAACTTCTGTGCACAGTTAAAAACTATCAACTTAGGATTCACCCTGTATTTTGTAAATCTCAATAGCGTGTGGTTTGGTAAATAATTAAAATCATGCTCAGTATCGTCTAGCACAGGACTTCCCAACCAGGAGACGCGTCCCCCTAGGGGGCGTAAAGAGATTATAAGGGGGGGCCAATGTATTCGGACATTCTGAAGAAAAATCTATTTGAACTCTTAAATCCACTCTTAAATTATTTAATAAAAGGGTGACAAATCGAAACGCCGTATATGTTATCGAAACTTTTGAGGAAATATTTTATGATAAAGTGAAATGTCACGAATGAAGCTAATATAGCTGCAGACATAAAATTAAAAATTATGAACAAAGTAAAGTTGTCATGTCTTGCTATAAGTTGCGATGAATCTACAGACATCGTTAACTGTGCACAATTAATCGGTTATGTTCGTTACGTCGACAAAGATCAAATTGAAGAAGATATTTTGTATTCACAATCTTTGACAGCTGGTACTAAATCTGACGATATATTTAATTCAATATCTGACTTTATAAAAAAAATTATTTTGATTGGAATAAGCTCATTGGACTCTGCACAGATAATGCCCCCGTTATGATAGGTGTAAGATCTGGCTTAGCTTAAAAGCTAAAGGAAAAGAATCCCACCCCGGTTAGCACACATTGTGTTATTCATTGGCCTCAAAAACATTGCCTCAGAATTTACGACAGAGTTTATACTTGGCAATAAAAATTATGAACTACATTAAAAGCAGTGCTTTGAACAGTCGATTATTTACATTACTTTGCGAGGATCTTGATTCTGATCACAAAGTTCTTCTTTTCCACACAGAAGTACGCTGGTTGTCTAAGGGCAACATGTTAGCACGACTTTATGAGCTGAAAGAAGAGGTCATCCTATTTCTCGATTTTACAGAAAAAAAAAACGACTTTCGGCAAATGTTCAAAGATGAAAAATGTCAATGGAGATTTGCCTATTTGAGTGACGTATTTGAAGCCTTGAATCAATTAAATTTGAAGATCAATTAAATTTGAAGTTTCAGGAAAAAAAAAACGGAACTATAATTAGTAACTACGATCATATTCAGGGCTTTATATCAAGGCTTCAACTTTGGTCCCAAAAAGTAATTTCGGGAAATGTAATATGTTTTCCTCGACTACAGGGAACAATTAAAAATCAAAGACTGGACGCAGACGTTAAAACTGATATAGCAGCTCATCTGAAAGCGTTAAAACACGATTTTTAACAATATTATATTAACATTAATTCAGAATCACCAATATGGCAAATGACTAGAAATCCATTTGTGGTCGATGTCTTACAATTACCAGAAGATATTCAGGAAGGATTTCTAGAAATGAAGGCTAATTCTACCATGAAAGATGACTTCCACCTCTTGACATTGGATAAGGTTTGAATAAAACGTTTCCTTCTTAATCCAAAAGTTGCTTCTCATGCTTTGCAAATAATTGTGCCGTTTTCCTCGACTTACTTATGTGAAACAGGTTTTTCAGTATTGGTTTAAATCAAAACTAAGCAGCGAAATCGTCTTGCCGTCCATAGCGACTTGACGATTGCCCTGGCAAAAACTACAGCCGACATCAACCAACTGGTTCAGAACAACTAGGCGCAAATATCGCATTAACACAATTTTATTATTTAATTTTTAATGAGAAATACGTAATTATTTTTAAGAGTTAACACCAAAGTTTTAATTTATTTGATTGTACTTGTTATTGAGAAGTAAATGTAGTGAAACTGATGTTTTTCATTATAACAATAAAAAAAATATAAGGGGGGCATGAATATATTTTTATAATCTAGGGAGGCACAACACAAAAAAGGTTGGGAATCGCTGGTCTAGCACATTATCGTAACTTTCTGACAAGCGCCAAGTAGTATCTTGAAAGTTTCTTGATTTGACGAACAGGACATTTTAAAATTCGGTGCAGCTCTAGAAAAATATAATTTCCACTAAAACTTTCACGTACTTCGACATATAATATTTTTTCATAAGCTGTCTAAAATTGTAGGGTTATGGTTGCGGTCTCCGTGTGAGCGAATACAGCCAAAGAACAACTTCATGTGATTTTGAGACATTTTGCAAATTGGTAAAAACGTAATATATTGAAATAAATTGTGTTTTTCTCACTTAAAGCACAATTAATATCTCAATTTCTCAAACACCGCCCTGTGTTTTGCGAAATGTTATTTCAGATAATTTTTTCTAATGAATATCTGGTATGCTGCTACGACTACATTGAGCACAAGATACCATTGTTTCTTTTAATCTGTACTATATTTTAGTATTCAAACGACATAAAAATAAAAAACGTTGATTGAAACCATAGTTAGCTGTTTGACACAATATGGCGGAAGTGAACCCGTCTTATACCACGGAACAACGTCTCTCTACCTCAATTCTAGCTCCAGCCTGCTCATTAACACGAAAAATAAACTGTAAATACCAATTTTCTTTCAAATGTCTAATAACACGGATAAATGAAGGTCTTTTTATAAAACTAAAGACTTCTATTTATTGTCTTCTACGTTGTTATAGCTAATTGGAAATAAGTTTGTACCTAGAATTAGAAAATAAAGCTGTACTTACAGAGCGTGTATTTTTAATAACATCCGAAACATTTTCGATAAACTTTTGACTTAATTCTGATGAGCGGTGAACAAATGTAAGAAATTCTGATACAGGAGGTTCGTTATGAAGATCTATTAAAAGTTTTGCATTGGTGTCCAAAAACCAACTAAGAGTTTCGATAGGTGGCATATTTTCACTCTAAAAATATGTTTTTGGTTTCAATATAAAAACAATTAAATGAATATTAATTTATTAACAATTATTTATAATTCTTACCAAAAAATCGCAGAAAGCAATGCTGCTTCCAATTTTCAAAACTTCCAAATTAATAACAGGATTTCTAAACCTACAAAATTTAAAATAAAGTTGTTATAAAAGTACGAGTATCTTAAAACACTTAAATTCTGTAAAAAAAGTGTTACTTACTTTCCACATTTCAGTTCTTGGTCATTTTGAAAAGCGATTTCCCAAAAACTCCGATCGTTGTAATTAAGTAAAGTCAAAAAGTTGCACCATTGAGAACTCAAAACAGGATGAAACGTAGCCAATTTCAAGAAATTTTCGTTAATATTTTTTAATTCCATGTCGTCATTTTCGTCTACTGGAATGTTTATACTTAAAGCTGTTACTGCCGCTTTTGAAATGTTCGTATGACTCCCTAAAAAAAGGATAAAGCTCGTTTTAAACACATTTAATTTCACTATCATCAAATAAGAATCTGGCAGTTTGTCTGCAACATCATACTGGTCTACTAGCTACATTATTACTCTCCACTGCATCCAGCTGATGGGAAGGAATTCCTTCTTTCTGTGAAGGCGATTGAGAAGGTATGTATTCAAAGTCGCAGAGAACATGGTTCTTCGAAGCCCAAATTAGACAATATCGTCGTCCCTAACTTCCCAAAGAACAATAGTCTTAGAATAAAGCTGATATTAATGACTTACCCGATTGAAAAACGTATATGCAATGCACCAAAAAGCCAAACAGCTGCTCTACACTGAACCCACTCTTCATATATTTAATCTCCATTAAGCACCTATTCGATCCCAGATGTAGAACTCTGAATAAAAATCGAATGAAAATCAATTCGGCCGAGATATTTTGAAAAGTATCTGCATTGTTATTGACATTTAAAGGATCTGCTTTGGTTTTGACGTTCGTGAATATGCTTCCCGGTGAAAATTCCGATTTCAGACGATTGATCTTCGCCAAAAGGGATTCTTCTTTCAGAGGCGTAATAAGTAGAAGTAAAATAAGGATTTTGGAAAACCAATTGTGGAACGTAGATGAATCTGCATCCTAAAAATATAAATAAAAAGAGAAAATAAATAGTTTCAATTTTGTCTCACTTCATGTACAATATTTGAATTTAGAATTTATTTAAAGAAATAATTAATACATACATAGTTATGCATACTTGATAAAAACCGAGTCTTTGTATGAGTTAAGTAATAAACAAATTATTTTTCAAAATTCAAAATTTCATTAAAAATGGGAGACAAAACAACATAAGATACACCTATTAGCAAAAAAAATCAGTTAAATAAATGTTGCCAATGGCGTACGGTATGGATAAGTAATACCTCCATCCCCTCTGAATTTTACGCCACTGTCCACTATAATTTTAATTTTTTTGGTTTTTTAAATAAATCATGCACTCTTGTTGGGAACTCCGAAAGTGATTGTTTTTCCGAGATATTCACACTCAAAGGTGGATATTCTTCATTTTAATTTTGTAATTTTGGATTTTTTTATAAATTTCTATAAGAGATATATTTAAAAACATCATATTTTGCAGCGTATTGATTTAATTTATTTTAATTTATTTATTTTCATTATAAAATTCACATTCACATTTTTTCATGTTAAATTAAAATATAAGTAAACTGAAATTAAAATGAAGCACCTGTATGTGCTAAAGACAAAGTAATATTAGCTTATACGCATATTTATACAATATGCATACATTTATACATTAATTTGAATAACAGTAACAAGAGTACAAAGCTGTATATGGTATTTTAATAATATTAACATAAAAATATAAAAAAATTGATCTCAACTAAAAGTATTGACCTTGTAAGCAATTTTCATTCAGTAGTTTAACCATTAAATTTTTCATTCACCCTGGGTTTTCTAGAAAAAAAAAAAAAAAAATGTTTAAATAGTCTAATTTATGGCGAATGGGGAAGAATTACTGAATAAAAAATGCTTGCAAGGACAATATTCTTAGATGAGAACCATACAATCATTTTAAGAACGATTCAACCACTTTTTGACTGTTGGTTCCGATTTTGGAAATACATCCAACATATTTCGCTATTATCTAAGGCCAACCCTGCTCCTGAATTTGCTTAAAAGTTCAGAGAATAACGGATTGCGATATATCCACCTCTTTTACATGCAGAAGCTACAAACGGGTTGTGTTTATGCAATAATTATGACTGATATTGTCGCACCGTTGAAAGCCCAACTGGTCAAGCGTTCGAGAATAGTCTTACGACTTTTAGAGGGAGATATAAAAAGGAGAGAAATACCAAACCACAGTCTTTGAACTCATGAAAAGAGCTCTGACAGAAATGTAGAGCGTTATGAAAAAATCTCATGGTAAACAAGGCACAACTTATATGTCCGATTTATTTTTTTATCCACATGTTCAATTTTAACTTGTACATGTAATTTTTAAACATTTTACTGTCATTTCTTTATTGCAGTTAATACTGAAGATGGCGAAAGCCAAAAGCCAATAGAGGATGTCCGGAAATACCGTTCGAATAATTTAAAGGGGCTGTTCTACATAAAAAAACATTAAATTTTTTTCACATGAACCTGGGACCGGAAATGCATAATTTTAAAGATAGTGTCAAACTTGAAAAAAAAAATCAGTTTTTTATAAATATCTTAAATATTCTTCAGCCGATTTTGTTGAAACTTGGTAATGTTATTTGTAGTAATAAAGGGATAATTTGACCTTAATTAGATTAAAATTATGAAGTGTAGTGGCGCCCCGGAGGGCACCTTACTGAATATTATTGACAAAAAAATGCGTGTCTTTTTTTCCAGATTAAACAACTAAAAACACATTTTTGTCTCTTGAATTGTTTTCGTATATTGTTATTGTATAGCTTTGGGCAAAATACTATGCATTTCCGGATCCAAGTTTTCGTTTTCTTGTACAGAATTACATCTGAAATTATTCGAATGATATACATAGTACAATTTTTTACAAAGTGCGAAAAACAGGACAAATATTGTTACTATCTGTGAAGCAGCGAAGTATATTGTTGTTATGTCGTTTAAACACTCCATATACAATTATTAATAATAAAGTATCAATACGATAACGATAGGCAATAATATTGGCCGTGCATGGTCCGCTTTAGATATTTTAATGTGTTTCAAAAGTATTTACACTCAATATTGGAGGAAAGGCAATAGACTTACAACTGAAGGAAGCTCTTGAAAAAACATTACAATTATTTCATCAAAAGGTTTGAAGACTTCAGGATTCATTGCTAAAATAAACCTCCTCATTGCCACCAAAGCTTCCGAATCATCAATCATCAATTTATTTTGTTTAAACATCGGCAAAACAACTTGGAATACTCTTTTCGACCATTCGTGCCATTTTTCCGTGTTATGGGTGCAGTATTTACTGTCTTCTAATATAAGAGTAATGAGATCCAGAACTTGTTTGTTATCACAAAGTCTTAGTAGCATACTCAAAACCACCTACAATAATATTTTCATGAATTTTTCAAAAACAGAATTAACTTATAATACTCACTTCTCTGGTAGTTTCCAATTCTTTAAAATCCGGAGTATTCGACTTATTTCGAGTAAGAAAAATATCTTCTACTATGGGCTCTAGAGCCGGTATACAATGTGTTGCGGCAGGTTGGCCACTTGCCATCAGACCATCACATAATTGGATAATTTTTGGAACACCTATTATGGATTTAGAATGCTGCTTGCTATACGAAAGTTGCACCAAAAATTGGAATATCTTCGGTATCAAATTTTTCACTGACCTTTAAAAACAATTATTACCCATTATTTATCATCGCTACACCCAATACCGTGACATGGAAAATGGTATTATGTCATGAAAGCGCCAAAATTAACGAATATCATTTATACAATTCTATGTAGAACAAATAATCAATGTCAAATCAGTCAATAATGCTATAACTGAAAGCAATACAAGATCACAAGACCATGTGTACAGAAGTATTACAACCACTGACCAAGGGTTCGTACCGTAAGACAAAGATCTGTAGCAGAAATTTTCTGCAAAATAATTTTAGGAGCGTTAAACTTTTAGAATTAGCTAAGTTAGAATAAGAAGAAGATTTACAGATAATAAACTGATGCCTACAAGGTCAGCTACTTACTACTCCTCTTTTACTCAACACGAAGCGCTGAAGACAGATACTACAGTTTGTTGGTGAACACGCTGAACGAAAATTGAGCAAGAATATTGTTCACTAATAAATCCAGGTACTGTCCATTTTCTGTCGACAGTAGAAATAGTGTAAACTGGATGCCAAAGAAACGACATAAAGTAAAATTGTTGGTCAGTAACGGTCTGTTGTGGAATAAGCTAGGACCAAACAGCAATAGCTCTAGAATTTTAAGTATATGAAGAACGCCTTGCAGCAAACCACTCAATTTTAGATATTTTAGAAGAGTATATCATTCTTCATTCTAAGAAAAATGCTATATAGAATTTTTATTGGAATAAGACAGAAAAACACAGAAATTATGACCTCTTATGACAAAGTAGCATAATTTAATGAATCACCAATAATTCATTGGTTGGGGCACGTTGAAAGTCAGAATTTCAGCAGACGTAGAGAACAGGAAAAAATTAATGACAGCTGTAAAGGTGAGTTACAATAGCTGCAGCTGGAAAATTTGGAAGCAACGGCAAAACAAAGACATAAGCGGAGAAGAATTGCCAAATTTTAAATGAAATTGTAAACCATAAGGTTTGTGTATACATGGTAGTCTTTAAGTAAATTATCTATGCTAGCGCCATTTTAATTAAAAAATATTACAGACATGTTAATTTAACAAAAAAAAAGTTATAGGTAAGTACTTGTTATTAACCCCAAAAGTTAAGTTTTTGATCTAATCACATTTTAGAAATCAGCTCCATAATTCTTAGTTAATCCATTGTATGAAATATGAAGATAGTAGGACGTCTTCGATAATGTAACGTTTATTTATAGTTTATTTAATTTATAGACTTATACACTAATTTATTTTATACAGGGTGGGCCACCGGTAATGCCTCGCTCTGTAGGGCCAAAAATATTTGATTTTTTTAAAATCTGTTTTCACTGCCAGATGTATATCAGAAAAGGTAACAATTTAAAAATAATTTTAATTATACAGGGTTTTCCAAGAAAGTGATACAAATCAAAGTTAGTTTTTTTTTAATGGGACACCCTATATTTTATATTTGAACCGCATTGAAATCAATACAATTTTCATATAAAACTGGTTATAGCGTAGGAAATACTCTGTATAATCTCATTCAGTGGCGGCTCGTGAGGTAGTGCCACTGTGCCATGGCACTACCTTATTTTTGATGCAAAAATTGTTTTTTATTTTTAAAACGTATCAAATTTTTATTTTATGCATTTTTTATATTAAAAAAATATTTGAAATGTGGCAACCTCGCGCTGCATAAATCTCCAGCTGTGCAGTGCGACCATTCTCCGTATAGTAAAAGAAAATCAAAGTATGTGGCCAGCATCACATACTTTGATTTTCTTTTACTATACGGAGAATGGTCGCACTGCGCAGCTTTCTGAGTGCCTTTTAAAAGAAGATAGAAAACTCCGCCATTTTGAACCCTTATTACGTGTTGCCTACATCTTGGCGCAATATATTTAATAGGTGCGTTTTGATCATCCGCTTCTGCTTCGGAATTGTCAGTTTTCTTGTTTTAATCTGACAGGTTAAAACGACTAAACCGACAATTCCGGAAGCAGAAGCGGATGATTAAAACGCACCTGATATTTTGCTTGCTGCTGTCAGTGTCAGTGAATATTATTTTTGAAGTCACAGTTTATTGCTAAAGAATCAGTCGGACCAGTTGAAAGTTCCAAAATAACATCCACTCCAGGGATACAAATTCAGGATACGCAGAAGACTGCTGTTTTATTATAGGCGGTTGTCATATATTGTATTATCCGAGTTGCAGAGTGTATAAACTGAAACATTGAGATCAAAAGTGCCGGCGCAGAGTGAGCGATCTGATTCTTTAGCTGTAAACTGTGTCACAGGGTTCAAAATGGCCGCGCCCTATGTTGGGCGTGTCGGACCTCTCTCTTGCCTCGTATAGTAATCAAAGTATGTGGCCAGCATTGTTGCACTTCCGGTCTCCTTGGTGGAACGATTTTTTAGTATTTTAAATATAGCCTATATCCTATCCAGTAAAATAATACAGATCAGTGGATTATACAGAGTATTGCCCACGCTATAACCAGTTTTATATGAAAATCATATTGTTTTCAATGACTTGTTAACTGCAAAAGAAACGATTGAAAACCAATGTTTTTTGTTTTAGAAGGTTTTGGATATTAGTCAAAATTTTATGCCGATGCACTACTTTTTTTCAAAATTGAATTTTGTGAATTATATTTTTCTCATTAAAATTTAAAAAATTCCCAAAATTATTACCTTTATGTATAGGGAATGCTTAACTCAAATTAAATTTTAATTAAGGTACTTTTAAATGGCGATCAACTGAAAAAAAAAAATGAGAAAATGATGTATTTGAGTTTTGACTCACTCTCTACTGATTTGTTTTGATTGGAAAAGTAGTGCATAGGCATACAATTTTGACTAATATCCAAAACCTTTTAAAGCAAAAAAAAATGGTTTTCATTCTTTTCTTTTGCAGTTAACAGGTAACTGTTTCGTATAAAATTGGTTATAGCAGGGACAATGCCCTGTATAATCTCATACTATTTTATATTGTTATAATGGGAAAAGCGAGGGAAATTCAAATATAAAATAATATACAGGATGTCCCATTTAAAAAACTTAACTTTGATATATATCACTTTCTTGGACAAACCTGCATAATTGAAATTATTTTTACATCAGACGTAAATAGTTACGTAAGAAAAATATCTGTCATTAGAAACGTTTAAGTATACGTTTCTGGAATTGCTTTAACTTTCTAATAGACGTCTACTAAGTTAATATTTCTCGCAATGAAATAAATGTGATTATATCGAAAATTGTTAAATTTTGAGGTTAAATTGGCATATTTAATATTTTTTAATAAAAACTTAAATAACAAAAAAGTTTCATGTAAATTTGTGACACAAATGGGGCTTATGTGGCTCCATCTGTGAAATAGATCAATATAAATACGAAAATAGAATTTCTCATACCCAAAAACTACCAATTTTATGTGATTAATTAACTCCGTAATTGAAACAGTTTCAAAATATTAAAACAAAGTTGCTTATCCGATGTCTCTAACTACATTGAAATTTGGGGTGAGACCGACCGAGATCAAACATGCGAGAGCAACAGCGACCAAAGATAGAAATACCCAATTTTAATTTCACCCTTTTTGGACAGGTTTTTTTTTAAATTTTGTTTCTTTTACGAAAACATATTTTTTATACAGTAAAATTTTCATAAAATACATATCACTATGTTATGTCTATTACAAATATTATTTACTCACAGTATTTGACCCTCTTCTATGAACTCAAATTGCTTCAAAACAAAACCTATGAACACCTGTTCAGAGTCCAGAAGACAATAGTTTACTCTAAGTTGTACCAGTTGGCTTAAAAGTTGCAAAACCTGGCACTGCAGCTCGACGTTACTAGTTATGGTATATTGCTGAAATTTTAAACAAATAAAATTTTATTTGTAAATAAATAGAAACATTTTTAGTACATACTTTTAAGGATTTAATGACCATTGGTTCAAATATTCTTATATAGTTAGCCAAAGTCTTATCAGATGTTCTTGTCAAAATGATAGATCTTCGTTTAGCATCTTTACGATGTAAGTATCCCATTACCGTACTGTCGTCTTCAAAATCATGCCTACCAATATTATTTAAACACTGGAGAAACCACGATACTTGACCCATCGGTTTTTGGAAAACATTTTGATAAAACCCATTATCCCAACTCTGAAATATAATATTTAATATGGAAAAACAATAATTTTTAGTTATACTATAACAATTTTTATTTGAGGCTGACTCATCTGCGAAACATACACTATTGCCGGCCGGTCACAGTGTAATTCGCAGATGAGGCACCCTCAAATAAAAATTGTTTTTGTTAGATTCAGCGAATTAGGATACCACCGCCACTGGGGTCGACGCTACAACATCGCGCCCGTTGCAATATCCAAGAGAGAATGGGAATACTTGAATTTCGATCAAGCGAAGACAAGGAGTTAGTGCTCGTTAAAGACATTCTTTATTTTTTTCCTTAATTATTAAGATTTTAAACATTGTTTACGAGATATTTAATAAAACACTATAAAACCACGTATTTTGTGAAGTGCCTATAGAGGGTGTTATAGTATACAGGGTGATAAATCATTTAATAACAATAATTTTGAAGTTAATTTGTTTAAACTCTAACAATACTATAGTTCAATACTGTACCTTCTGAGTCTGTTTTGGCGATGAAAACTCATTGATATTGGCAGTTAAATTAGTACCAAACAGACACTTTAGTAATTGTTGCACGCATTCAACTGTAGCGGGAGCATCAACAGCGAAAGTTGATCTGAAATAGCCCAAAATTTCTTCGGCCAACTTGCCAAATTCAGTCAGAGATCCAACTTCCAATATTATCGACAATGATTTCAAACTCAAATTCAAGAATTCCAGAAACGTTTTTGACGATGCAGAGTCCAAAGATGTCTAAAAACATATATTATAATATAACGCCCATATGTTAGAATCTTGTGAACATTACAAACCTTATAGTTAACAAAAGATGCTTTAACTGTTTCAAATATCTTCATATAGTGACCAGATTGCACGAATATCCCTAAATAATTTATTTTAATGCCTTTTTTCTCGTTTTGTTCAGCTTTTTCAAGCTTCAGAGACAACGATTTTTTATCTAAATCGCTTTTCCGTCGTTTTAATGGCGACAAATTCGCTGTATTTGGTAAATTAGGAAGTACCGGTTTAGCTTGTGGGTGCACAGGTGTTAAATCGTTTAATATGTGGTGAAATATACACAAAAGTTTGATGGTGTGGTTTAAAAATTCTTCTGAAATTTCAGCAAACATATTATTACTAAACATGCTCCAAGGAGAATTAGTAGCTTCTAAATCTATCGGTTTTAGTAATGTTAAAGAATGACCTAAAATCAGAAAATATATAAGTTTCTTGGTGACGCTAATAAAAGGGATTTAATTAATGTACCTGCATATAAATTAGTTGCTAGACATACAATGTCCATATGCGTTTGTAGTCCGTAAACTTGTACCGAATTTGTAAGTAAACTAAGGCAAAATTTCAACAAATCCGGTATTTTTAACTCCTCGCATATTTGAAAATCTGTTGTGGACCAACTATTCTTATAAACTGTACAAGGATAGTTATTTGCTAGTAAAGATAACGTTTCTATGCAACCACTCTAAAAAATGTATTATTAGTTAAAGTCTATAACAATATGATTTACAACATCTTACCAATACATTTTTTGATGTTGTGGTCAAAAGAATGTTGGACAACTTAAAAATTATTTTCGACAACGAGAAATCTACTTTATCCGAAGCTTCTTCAGATAGTTTATTAAAAGGGAAAGGCATTTGCTTGACAAAGTGTTTCTTATTGATATTCGTATCTAACTCGGTGTATTTAAGGCTTTCCATAAGGTTTTTCTCGTCTGTAATTGCTTTAGAAATAGGCGTATCTTCGTTCAGATGTTCCACATAAAATAGATGAGGAATTATTCTAAAATTAAAATTATTGGTGCTCAGTTTGCCTAAATATTCAGAACTACATTATAAATTGAATTACAGCCTAATTAGCTATAGTAGTCATTATTTAAATAGCCTATAAGAACTTTTATCATTTACAAAGTACTTTAACAAAAGTTTACTGTTCAGATTTTATATGAGACCGGAGAAATAAATATGTCACGTGTTAGGTCTTAATTTATATTTTTATATTTACGCGCCGCGCCACTGACCAACGAGCGCTGCGAATGTTTTGGTCCAAAAATGTCGAGTAAGAAATTGGCTATAAGCGGCAATCGCCGGTTGTAATCTGACAATAAAATGAGTTTAATTGAATCATCGTGTTAAAATATAATTGACAATAAGTCTGAGTGATATAATTTCAATAAACAAATAATTAAACATAACATTTCAGAAGTGAATGAGAATGCCAATAAAAAAAATTCGTGTAAAAAAACTTTCAAGAACTTTGTGTTATTATTAGCGTGGGGTGTCGGTATAAAAACTGTGTGACAAACAATACGAAACTATACAATGTGTTTAAATAATTAACTCTTTTATGAGTGTAAATATCTCTTAAAATAAAAACTTCGGTAGTTGCAGAACTTTTGGCAAATATTTTTTTTTTATTACTGCATGCTGTGTGAAACCCAAGAAACAAGATGTCCGAGAAAAATGGTTCCGGTGATAAAAGCCTTGAGGGAAACGATTTTTCTAATAATGTTTGCTCAGGAAATACACAAGGTAATAACAATGATTTTTATTTAACTCGTAAGATGGATTTGATGATAAGTGAGAATAAACGCAGAGATGATGTAATGATGCAAATGCTTCAGAGAATTACCCCTCAGCGTACTGATATTCAAAATTCAACCAGTCAGACAAATGAACGAAGCGTTTTTCATGTATTACCCGATGACCCCGATGTATACGCAGGTAATAGGTTACTTTGATGAAGATAAAGACGTGCATCGAGTGGCTTACTAATATAGACACAAGCGCTAGATTATATAGGTGGCCTGAAAATTATAAAAGGGCTCATTTGACAGGTCCAGCTGTATATTGGTTTAATAGTAAAAACTCATTTATTCATTGTTGGGATGATTTTAAAACTTTATTTAATAAAACTTTTAAACAGGCCGAAAGTTTATCAGAAAAATGGGATAGAATGCATGCTAGAAAAAATCATGTCGTATTTTCTTGAAAAATTAGATTTATGTTCTAAACTGGGTTTACAATTTGACGAAATAAAAGAAGTTTTAGCTGGTATTTTTTCTAAAGAACTGGTAATGAGTTAAACGGTTAAAAATGATTGATTCTGATAGTCTTCTCAAAGATTTACTGAGTGCTCATAGAATGAGAGGAGCACGTTCATATGAAACAAATAATCTTTTTTAAAATAACCATTATAAAAAAATCTTATAATACAGGAATGGATTCTAATTTATATGATAACAACAAAGAAAATGTTACAAATGCGGTCTTTATAATCATACTTCAGAACAATGTAAGGGTAATCAATCTGTTTGTTTTGGATGTAAAAGGGGGGGACATATGTTACAAAATTGTCCGACAACAAACGATAGAAGTTCATCAAGTTATAAACCTCCTCAAAATGTTTATCTACCCAGAAACAATTTGGTTTCAATTTGGTTATGCAAATGAAATACCATTTAAAGATATAGACATTGATATTTTAAAAACAAATGCAAAAGTTATGCAGCATACTACAATTAATAGTTTTAAAAAGATGTATCATGTATAGTGGGAAAGAAAAAGCATATTCTTAGAATTTACAATGCCAGAGAGCACAATGTTATATTAGACAAAGAGCAAATTTTGGAATTTAATAAAGAGGAATATGATCCAGATTTAGTTAATTCAAATCAATTTATTAAAACTAGTTTACCTATTTCATTAGATGTTTCATACTTCTGAAGAAGTTGAACAAAACACTTGAGTTGTTAAATTTATTACAAAATGATCGTGACTGTTTTGCTATGAGTCTTGAAGAGCTAGGGTGTACCACCGTGATGACCAGGGATATCCTTGATAACAACATACTTGTAAGGTGCCGACCTTACAAAGTGTCTGCTTCAAATAGAGAAACTATTGTTAAATTAGTAGATGATTTATAGCGTTGTGGTATAATTTCAGAAACCACAAGCCCATACGCATCACCTGTACTTTTAGTTCAGAAAAAGAATGGAGATCCTAGATTGGAAGTTGATTACCGGAAATTGAATTCTCAAACTATTTTGATAAATTATCCTATATCATGACTAGATGAACAATTTCAGTTTTTGCTGGTAGTAAAATGTTTGCCACACTTAACCTTGCGAATGGATACCTTCAGTTACCTTTAACTGAATCTGCTAGTAAAAAGACAGCATTTATTACACCAGACAGAACTAGAGAATTTAAGCGTATGATTTTTGGGCTCACCAATGCGCCAATGTGCCCGCGAAAAATTGGGATGAACTGCTTTATAGATTTGAATTAGTGTTTTTCACGAAGATAATTTACCGTTAAACATTAAAAAGTATGAATTCGTTAAAAACCAATTTGTCTATCTCGGGTACAGTATATATGAAAATGGACTTAAGCCCAAACTAAGTGATTATCCAGAACCGGAAAATGTGCACGACGTGCGTCGCTTTTTAGGACTCTCCAATTTCATTAGGCGTTTCATACCCCATTATACTCTTATAGCTAGACCATTAACAGAACTCACAAAGAAAGAAACAATTTTTCAATTCGATAAGTATCGCGAATTTTTTCAAAAATTAAAAGACTGTGTGATTACCCTGTTCTTAAACTTTATGACCCCAATTCGGTTACAGAATTATACACTTATGCCTGTGCAAATGGCATTGCTGGATTGCTTTCACAAACTGATGAAGATGGAAAGAAACGCTTAGTGAATTGTGTATCTAAAAAGACTACTGAGTGTGAAAATAAATACCATTCGTCTCGTTTGGAGCTATTGGCTATTATTTGGAGTGTGGAGAGACTACGTCCATTACTTATTGGTATACACTTTAAAATTGTGACTGACTGTCAAGCAATTGTTTTTCTGAATTCCAAGAAAAAGTAAAGTAAAAACTTTTGTTCGGTCTATTGTAGATGGTTATTTAGATAAGATACTAAATTAAGTACATATAAAATATTTTTCCGAAGTTCCTATTACTTTCGTATTAATGAGAATTGATTTTTAAAATATTTAAAAGACTAAATTTGAGTCCGAAATAAGTGTTTCTTTTTTCTTTTCTTTAAGATCGTAATTAATTTTCTACAACATCAAATATAATTTTGGAAAAGGTAAATAAAATATGTTACGTTGTATTTACATTGTTTGCATTATATAAATGATTAAATGAATTTATTTATTTTTAGGGAAATTTACAAAATTCTTCCAAAAAGAGCAAGAAAATAATGTAAAGGACTTTTTTATGGCATGACATTTTTTTTGTATACCTATCTCATGTATTTATTTATATAATAATAAGAATATTTAACTGTAATTAAATTACTTTTTTAGATGAATAATGATGAAAATGATGAAGTTATAATATCTGAACAAATTACGAAGGTTTGAAACCTATTTTTTTTTACAAATATTTGGCACATTTTTAACTTTAGAAATTGTCATTGATTTGTTGTTTGTTGAATTATAAATATATTTTATGTATCTATTTATTTTAGGAGAATTTACAACATTTTGAAGCAATGCCTTTTAGAAATCTGGATAATATAAAAGACAGTAGTAATAAGGTAAAACATTACTTTTTGACAAAAAAAACATGTAATAATTGATTAACATCCTGTCTACTCAAGTAGGCTATATATGGAAAACTTTTTTATTATTAGTTTTAGGAAAAACAATATTCCTTATAAAAAATTGTGGATAGTCTAAACCCTAAAATACAACCATCAGATATCAAATTTTTTGGGCCGTATACGAGGTGCGTATCTTTATTTTTGACAAACCTCGTATACTACTGATAAAAATTGGTTCCAAATGATTTAATTTTAGGTTTTAAGTCACGAAGAACCATTTATGATAAATAACTTTTTTTTCCTAAAATTAATAACATGCCGATAACTTACGTAGACAATTAACAGCATATAGAAAACTTTATTATTAATTTTGGGAAAAAAATGTATTCCTTGTAAACAAATGTGCATGGTCTGAAACCTAAAATACAATCATCATATTATATCAAACTTTATCAGTTGTATACGAGGTTTGTCAAAAATCATTAATGCATTTGTAATGGTGGGTGAGTCCAACACTGATTAAAATTGAAAAACGCCAAACAATCCTCGGGCTGTGCTTTGCACTAGTCGATTGAAAACGAGTCACGCCGAGCGATGCGTCGATGAAAATGCAATCGTGGAGAGAAGGGAGTCAAAATATTCAGTTTTATAGGTATTTCTGGGAATAACTTTTCCGTATTTATATGATTACATCTTTATTTCAAATCCAAATTTAATTATTATTTTTTTATTCTCTTGAGAAAAGATGAAACTACATTTACATCGTTGTATTTGAAAAACAATGTATTTTTAATATAATAATTTGTCTGGTAAAGTTAGGTTCTTTTCAACAATTTTATTGAACTTATAGATTTTTTTCTGGTTGAACCGTTTATATTTTAATCAAAAGCGTCTGTAGGATGATAGTCCAAGCCTTTATCTTTTTGCAAAAAAAAATTAATAAAATATATTCATTATTGTGCCGTCTAGAATAAAAACCAAAGACTCGAAATTCACACATTTTGATTGCATTTGTGAGCAGTGCAATAGCTCTTAAGGAATATAATGATGTTGCAATTATATTGAATGCGCCTAAATGCAATCAGGCGGTTTAGGTTTGTAACCAATTTTACTGCCTGTCGAAATAAAAAAAAACTTGGTATTTTTATTATAGATATTATTATTTTTTATATATAATACACATAGACAACTACAAAAATTTTAAAATATACTATCAGTAAATTTTAATCGACGCTACCCTTTTTATTTTGTTGCAACACCATTTAATGCATTGTCCAGAATTGTTAATAAAAGAACAGACACCTAATTATTTTTCTATTTCACTCCACCTACAATACACAGAGATGGGACTAATAGGAAAAGAAAAGTAAACATTTGGCAACAAAATTGAAATTTTCTGAATTTATTGGTACACCTCACGGGACATAGGGGACATAAAATTTTCAACTTTAACAATTATTTCTTCGGCCTCCAGTAATATCTGAACGAAAAAGTTTTGCAATTTGCAAATGTTAAAGTTTAAAATAGACCAGGTAATAAAAAAATAAGGCTGTTATAACCCACAGAAAATGTAGTAATATTTAAGAATTGTAGTAACATTAAATTAATAAAATATTCATATTTCTTCTTTATTTATAAAAAAATACTTTATAATCAAACTTCTTTTAAACTTCCTGTATTCCCTTTTATATTCCTATCAAAACCGGTTCAATTGGTCATTAAATTCATTGCGTGGACGTGCAGTGACTGAATAAAACCCAGAAAGATATGGCAACTAGATGTCTAAAAGTGTGCCATATGTATAGTCAGTTGGACGTCGTATATGGCTTGAAAAATTTGATATTAGATGACTGTATTTAAGTTTTGGGGCATGCAAGACTTTTTATAAAGAATAACTTTTTTCCTAAAATCAATATTTTTTTTTCCATATGTTTCCAACTTAAGAAGACACATTGTATATGTGAACATATTTGTGCTGCCTGGATTCTTCCTCTGACGTTTCTACATTTAAGGATTTAAGCGTCGGTAAATATTTAAAGATGCATATTGTTAATAATTAAGCTATTATAGAAATATCGCACTTACATCATGATCCCAGAAGCCGCCGATGTTCTTACTCTTTGGTCACTATCACTCAAAAGATTAAATAGTATATTATACAACACTTTTTCTTGAAAATCATTATTTTCTGTGACATAATAAGTACTGATATAATTTATTTTTGATACCAATTCACACAAAGAAACCTAAAATAAAACATTTTTGTTAGGATGAAGATGAATATTAATAATTTAAAAGATTGAACTTCTTGGAATATTGTTGCGGCCAAAAATGCTCAAAACAATTACCTTTCCTATAATTATTGTATAAAAATTATGATGTACCTTAACAAGCCAATAGGGGTTTTCTGAAAGCTCAGGTAAAATATTTAACAAAGGTATGACAGAAACACTTCTGTGGGATTCTAATAAATATTTCAAAGTAGTTCTCAAAGATATCAAAGTTTGTCTTATACAAGTAGCAGATGCATCCTTTAATCCCTAAAACATTTAAAACGATGTAAAAAAATTTAACAACATCCAAATATTTACTCACCTCTACGAAAATATTAACTATGCTCTGAATTTTTATAAAATTCCCATCTTCTCCATCACAACTTTTTTCCACCCAATCGTCATAAGATTCTTCGCAAAGATTAGAAACGATTTTCAAAAAATTACCCAACAAATTTCTGATCGCTCCTCGTAACTGAGGATCGGGATGGTTTTGGAACAATAAAATATCAGAAATTCTTTGGCTACTAATTTTTTTCGAATTCGGATTATAGTTTCTGTCTAAATGCATAAAAATACCTTGGGGGTATAATTCAAAGAGGGTTGACAAACAAGAAAGGGCTAAAAACTTTACAGATACTCGTATTTGTTTGTCTGAAATATAGTTACCAGGTACACCGTTCAGTAAAAAAAGTTTGGTTATTAGACGTATACAATATTTAAGTGGGGTTGTTGCATCTAATAGATTTCCTACGTCTATTTCCTACAAAGAAATATACACATTTAAATTGGAACAATATTAAAATTTTGAGAGAGTGATTTCAAATAAAATGTTACATGTTTGCATTACAAAACTTTTTTTTTTTCTTAAAAAAATTTAAAAACTCCCTGTATAATGGAATTAAATGTTGATATTTAGATAGTATATTAAGTAACAAATTAGGATTTAAGTGGGCCCATGCACATATTTACTACAATATATCCAAAATTTATGACATTCAACTGAAAACCATTTAACAAAAGAAAAGTTCTGAGTCCATTAAAGATGATTTGTAATTTAGACTATTAAATAATAAATTCTGGTTTTTGTACCTGAATTAATTCTTCAACATTCAACATTTTTTCTTCTTCGCCATTAAAACTTTTTTCAGAAGAATTTTCACTATACCCCAATATATCTAACGTATTTTCAATACTATGAGACTTTGTTTTGGTTATAAAATTATCCCGGTTCAATTTATTCACATCTCCAAAATGAATACCAAGGTTTTTTAGGCTTTCCGGACCCAATCGGTTGATTTTGTCGAGCGAATGAGATTTTTCTTTGGTTTTGGCAAAGCCTAAGTTCATCACAGACAATTTTGAATCATCGATCCACTTTTCTATATCAGAATGTAACGTTTCCGTTAATTCTGAGTCAGAAAATAAGTTGTCGTCAGTGTTTACTGTGGTAGCGACACTGAGTTGACCTAAAATAAAATTATTTGTTTTTTTTTTTTAAATAAACTAAAGTCTATTTAGAAATATTTGTTCTTTTTAGTTTCAATAGTCACCTAATCTTCAGCAGAAAATATTTGGAGTGGGGTATTCATTAATATGGTTGAAATTAAATGTAGTGGCGGCTTGTGTCCAAAATATTGGCGATTCACAATGACAGAATATAGATCTCAGTAGAGATTAAGGTAAAAAAAATCAGAAAGCTACATTATAAGCATTGAAAGTTTTTTGCCTAAATCTGTATGGAGATCTATATTCTATCATTGTGAACCCCCAATATTTTGGTCACCAGCCGACACTGATTAAATTAATGATGAGTTTAATTACAAGCTGGATCACCATTTACTTTTGGCTATATTTAAAATTAGTGGTATAAAATCAGACCTTAATTGAGGGGTCCAATGCATAAACCAGCCAAGTCCATTTTGACAAAATGTTCAAATTTTGTTTCATCAAATAGGTTTGACCATGTTTTTCAACATTAAAATTTGATTTTTCTCGAAAACGGTCGACTTTAGAGCGTATGACCAAGAGTGCCTTTTTTGTGTAGAAAACATTGGCGGTTCAAATGGGCGTCTTAAAACCGTACTTTTTCCAGTGGCGTAGAATTTTTTTTTTCAATTTCAACACCCTGTGTCTCGAAAATGGTGCATTTTAGAGGGTAAGTTAATAGAAACGTTTTTTCATATTTTTGGACGAGCTATCATGTCCTGAAGTCCTGCGCATATATTATGAAACACCCTGTATATTTAGAGCAGTTTAATAATAATTTTCCATTAAATTATGTAACTGTAAGAAAAACTTGCAAAAAATATCAGCTAACACAAGATATTATTAATATAAAAAAACCAGCTTGATATAGTACTAATTTTAGCTAGGAACAATGACATGTATAAGGTTCCATACAAATTAATAAAGAAACAATATGATGAATTACTACAGATGAATAAAAAAGATGGTTACGATAAAAGAATACGATTATCTGACAATAAAACTAAATGTTTATGGGGCATATGTAAAGAAATTACTGGAAAGAATGACAAAGAAAATTTTGTGATACATGGAGAATGGAGATCCTCATGAAATCTCAAACAATTACAATATTTTTTTATCAAAAATAGTTCCAGAACTCTTAGATAAACTTCCAGAGGTTCAGTACATATGTAGCATCCCAGAAAATAATAAGTCCATTTTCTTAAAACCAATTACACCATCAGAAATAATGGAACTTTCAACCAAAATAAAAAATAAACTCAGTAGTGGGGATGATGGAATCCCAACAAGTATAATGAAACGTAGTCTACCTGTAATAAAAGATATTTTGACACATATAATTAATAATTCCTTAAAATCGGGTATTTTCCCCAAAGAATTAAAGACATCAATGGTAATCCCTATTTTTAAAAATAAAGGTGATCCAGAGTTACTTGAAAATTACAGACCCATTAGTTTGCTACCCGCTTTCTCTAAAGTTTTTGAATTAGTAATGGTGTCAAAAATCACAAGTTTCCTGAAGGAAGAAAAGTTATTTAATAATTTCCAGCATGGGTATATTTCAGGGAGATCTACTCAAACAGCAATATTTAGAATTCAGAACTAATATTATAAATTTTTTAGAGAGTACACAATATGCACTGGGTATCTTTTTAGATTTAGCGAAGGCTTATGACTGTTTAAATCATGATTACTTAAAAATTAAATTAGAAAAATATGGAATTAGAGAGCCTGTACTAAAATGGATTGTATCATTTTTAGCAAATCGGGAACAGACAGTCAGCATTACGAATAAGGGAAAGCACTTTCAATCGGGAAAAATTAATACCACAGTAGGGATTCCACAAGGAAGCATTATGAGACCACTATTATTTATAATTTACTTAAATGACTTTATCATCAGTACCAACTAACACAAAACAAATAATAACAAATTATGTAGATTGCTCCAACCTACTAGTGAGAGGGGAAACAATACCAGAGGCAGTGATCAATGGTAATTCACTTTTACAAAGAACAAAGGAATGGTTTTCACAAAACATAGATAACCTTTCTATTAAGTTAAGTAGGTTAGCATATGGGTTTCGAATCACTAGTAAATATTTGTATAAAAAATCTAAAAATCTGTCAAAATAATTTACTTGGGTAGTTTTGAAGCGGTATGTAAATATGGCATATTGTTTTGGGGCGGAAGCCCAGAAGTTACAATAATTTTTGTAGTACAAAAGAGTGTTAAGAACTATAAACAAAATGAGTTTCAGACATTGCGTTCGGTTTGCCACGTTCCTTTAACTCCTTTAACACTTTTAACTCCAAACGACTCTTTTAGCGTTCGGTTTAGTCCGATTAGTGACAGTTTAACACGCTTAAATGTCATTTAAAAGCACCCTAAAATTTGTCCCGCTCCAGCCCCTGACTGACCGAACTCGCCTAGAGAGTCATGTAGGTCAATTTTTAAATAAAACAACATAATGACAATATATGGGCAATATATATATATATATATATATGAATGTCTATTGTTTGTAATGAAAAATAAAAACAAATTTATCAGTGAATTAATACCAGTTTACAATACAAGAAGCAGGGAACTCATGTATCCATATCACCGACTCACGTTAACAGAGAAAAACTCTCATTACATGTGCATAAAATTGTATAATGCATTACCAGAGAACATAAAAACCATTAACAGTATTAAATGTTTCAAAAAACGCATACGAGAATTATTGATTGGCATGGAACCTTATAGCATGTCGGAATACCTAAATTATAACTTTAAGTCATCATAGATAGTAAATTTGTGACGTCATTTCACTGCCATGTTATTTATGTTTATAAATTGTCAATATTATTTTTGGAAATAAAGATTATTATTAATAACTAATTTTTGCAAAAAAATGGACTTGACCTGTTTATGTACTGGGCCCCTCAATTATTTGAGCTAACTTACTTGGAGATCTATTGCTTAAATTCCGAGATTTTTCCATAGAGTATATTCTATGGGATCCAAATCCTTTAACGTTCAACAAACTGCTTCTAAAACACTCAGATGGACATTCCAGAAGTACTTTTAATGTTTCTAAACATATATTTATTATATTGTGATCTTTGTGAGATAAATAATGTAAGCATAATTCAAAAATTTGAAGTAATTTTTCTGGAAGATTATTTTTATTGTGCGAGTTAGATTCAGTTTTAAAAGAAAATATATTTGGGATTAACAATTTAATGCAAGATAGTACCCCTAAAATTTGGGATGTTGAGTGTTCTGAATTGACAGGAATGAGAATATCTACAAAAAAATATGTTATTAAAGTAAAATGAAAATTTAAATGCATAGCTAATTTGAACTTTACTCTGCATATTTACCTAGTAGATTATTGAGACAATATATTATAAAAACATAAGGATTTTTGCAGTTGATACAAATAGTGAGTATGCAGTTTGTTGTAGTTCTTCTGATGACTGTAGATTCATTGGAAACATTTGCTAGAAAAGCTTTTAGTAGTACCTAAAAACAATATAAATTTAAAATAAGTGTAATAATTTCCCATTTTTTTTTAAACTAACCTTGTTTTCATTTTCAGTTGTAAAACAACCTAAAGCTTTCATAATTTTGGGTAAACTATTGGCTAAAGTCTCATGCACTGACTCTTCATTCCTTTCTATGATTTTTATTAAGCTAGGAAACATGTTAGCGACATATGGCTTCCCCTTATGGGGCCTTATTCGGTGTGCCAAAAGAGAAAATAGCCACAAAGCAATTCTTAAAGATCGTGCTGGGCCGTTCTTTTTGATTTCTTTGTGAAGTTCTATTTGAATTTTTCCTACATATCCATTAGAAGCCTAGAAAAGGTTTTTTTTACAGTTTTTGGGTATGATTATTAAATATATTTTTAGTATCAGAAGCTTCAAAACTGGTGATTATAGTGATTATGTTTCATTTTCATTTAAGTAGTCAATATGCATTTAAATAATCTGAACTTAAATATATATTAAGTCTTTGATTTGTAGTTCTAAACATATCGAAACACAATTTTTTAATCATAATAATTTGCCAAAAATTATATCATTGATTACAATGTAGATACCTATAAATAGTGTGTTCATGAATAAGATTCATCATAGGTGGAAAATATAATACTGAATTTAAAATATTAATTTTTCATATTTTTAAATCAAGCTTAGTGTTAAACTTAGGCTTTTCAGTATTTTTAATCTTTATTAGGTCTATAAAATGTAATGCCATTTCATTCGGGATTTGCGTTTTAGCATGTGCAGTTACTGCCTTTTAAAACAAGATAAATTCTGCATGAATATTTTAAGGGGGTATTATACAAGTTAACAGCTTTTTGAAATTTATTTACATCTATCCAATACAAACTAATCAAGATGTGTCTTTCCAACCAATTTATATCATAAGCTCTGAGCGATAAAGAATGGGAGTAGGTAAATATTTCATGCAAGTCTTAAAAATATTTTAAAATAAATAGGAACATTGGCAATGAGTAATTTTGAATTTTTGATTGTATGGCTTAGATAAAATTTTTGATTTTAAAATTTAAAAGAACTTAAATATGTACTCTTATAACTCTATTAAGGCATTCTTCGCTTGTCATTCTAATATCAGCATCTTCATCATCACAAAGTAGTAAAAAAACTTCTATGGTAGCTCCCAATAAACTATTGAAATTTGTAGATACTCTTATAGCTGGATTTGATATAGCTTCTGTTATTGTATAACAGTATTGTATTTTCTCTTTTTTCCTGAAACTAGTATTATTATTATTAGTGGTAAGTATATAAGTAAATATAGGTGTTTACTTTGAAATTTCTGCAGAATTAGGATTTGATTTGTATAAATTCTTTAGGGCATCAAGAGATTTTTGTAATTTTTCCTGAGTAGCCATATTAATTTCTTCGATAATTTGAATTATTTATATTAAAAATAATTTACATGTTTTTTCAATATTTACAAAATGTATTTTTATTTTTATTGTGAAACATAATAAACAAATTTATAAAATAGAATGTTGGTAGAAGTTGTTGTCAACTTCAATATGACGTGTGACACGAAAATAATATGGCCTTTTATAACATTGGTTACTCAGTGACTAAGTAATCCAGAGAATTTTGTAATTTTTTCTGAGTAGCCATATTAATTTCTTCGGTAATTTGAATTACTTATATTAAAAATAATTTACATTTTTTTCAAAATTTACAAAATGTATTTTTATTTTTATTGTGAAACATAATAAACAAATTTATAAGTTGGAATGTTGGTAGGAGTTGTTGTCAAATTCAAAATGACGTTTGGTACAAATAATATGGCCTTTTATGACATTGGTTACTCAGTGACGCAGTAAATTTAACTTCTGTTCTATTTCCATTTCAGATTTCAGCAGTCCTAAAAATTGTAGCAAAGATTAATTGAGTACTTTAATTTTTGCTACATATTTTTGGTATGTAAACAGTATGTTTTTTACTGAAAAAATAGTATCTCAGTTGTACGATTTTCCTGTCCTTTCACATTCTTATCTAAAATGAGTATCTAACATTAGTCTTTCTTTTTAATTTTTTTTTTCTATTTTTCTGTGGTTCGTTTTCTCGCCTGTTTTTCACGCATTTAATTGATTATGGGTTCCATTTTTTCTAGTGGCTCCTCTGGATGATCCTTATTGAAATGTCCAGACCATGTTACCAAAAATTTCAGAGGTATGTAATACTCAAATGATGAAATCTCGTCGAGATTGCGCATGACGTAGTGTGGTGCAGAATATGGGTAGCAGTGATGGCAGTGAAGAGATTAAAATTTATTTTTTCTACGATCACTATCCAAACTATAGGCTTTTGTGCTTTGAAATTCAACTGCAAAGTTAACTTTTTCCGCTAACTGACATTAAGTGACATCTTTGTGGCTCGCCTAATTCTAATTGGGTATAATATAATATAATACAATCTAGATTTCTAAAAAAACAGAAAGGCATAAACCCTTGGACAACATTGACGCACTCCAATATACTATAAATAATATATAATATTGATGCGTTAATTTTGCCCAGAAGACCAATTATATTGATTTTATATTTTCAGTTTTTATATCTATTTCTTAAAATAATATGATCATAAAAATATTGTGTACATTTTGAACGAAAAGTTCGTGGCCGCTTTCGACAGATTGCCCGCGCTCTGCTATGCCTCTGCACCACAAAACGTCACCGGTACATAGTATCAAGAATCTGCCAGAGTACCCTTCCTTGAGGGAGTCCTCTATATCTCCTATTTATTTTTATAGATATCTTCTCAGATGAGTTTGCCTTTTTTGTTTTGTTTTATTGATAGTACATACGTAATTTCCCAAAAAAATGTAATTAAAGATAAAATAGGGTGACCAGATTTATTTGCAGAAAAGTAGGACAACCAGGACAAAAAGCCTGATTTTTAATAAAAAAACCTGACATTAAAAAAATATATTTATTTAAAAAAATTTAACAATTTTTACTTAGGTAAAAACTACTTACACTTTTTCAGAAGAACCAATTTCTTTTAAAATATTGGGATTGTCCATCAAATAATTATAATATTCCTCACAAGACGTTTTTAAATTAAATTTTAACATTATGAGGCTTTTTATTGATTCGATAGATAAACGGTTTCTTTCTTTGGTCCACTGCGCTGCGATTAAAGAAAAAATTCGCCCGACGGCAGCATTATGTGCCGGAATAGCAAAGTAGAATTCACAAATTTTAAGTAAGACCACTTTTTATCTAAAGATAATGATACAAATTCCTCATTTTGAATCTTTGTTGTTAAACTGTCTTTTAATAAAATGATTTCATCAATTTTCGATGGATAAAAAGCCGGACACGACAAAAAGCCGGCCTGACGTTTTCATTTAAGCGAAAAAGCCGGACATGTCCGGCTTTATCCTGACGTCTGGTCACCCTAGATAAAATCACAGCATCATCTTAGTTATGTAGCCAGACTGATAATTCTTACAATATAAAGTCAGTAAAATAGAAGTTTAATTTAAAATGAAATATTTTTCATTTGCTCAAATGTAGTTGATTTTCTTTACAAAAAAGTAGAATCCGAAATCAATACCACAATGTAAAAATGTATTTATTAAATCAAGAAAATTAGAGGTGCGACTTAATAAATACAATGTGGTACTTGATTTCTAGTTTTACTCTTTCGTCTAGAAGTTTAATTATGTAGGTACTCATTTTTTATGACTACTGAAATGACCAATGACCATTCTTTTCCTGGTCGCAGTCTCTACATGTGAAAAATGTAACAACTAATGAAAGCATAGAAACTGAAATTAAAAATGTACAATCGCCATCTGCTACCCTGAACTCCATGGCTTAATTTCTGACAATTAACTGACAATGCGAAACTACTATCAGAAAACTTTATGGCAATTTCAGGTTAATACATGAATCAAAATCGTTAAAAATGCCAATAGTAAACACATTTGAAACTGATAAATTCCATACACTTACCAACCGATTACTCACAAAACAGAAGTTTAACAAGCAAACCAGTGCAGAAGTTGGTAATCTCAAACATTGGCAATATATCGAATTTTAAAAATAAATTTTTGGTATTTCAGGTTTTGAAAACAATAGAGGCCATGCGAAGTTCCAATCCTGGAACTTCAAATCAAAGAATAACAACCAATTTTACAACTCCAAATTTAAGGCTAGAACGTAGCAGTGTTAGTCACAACAAAAATTATTTTATCTTTTTTAAAACATGTAAAAATTTTAGGTAATGAAATTAGACAGTCATATGCAAACAAGGTCTGGAGATAATATTTACCTTTCATCGACTATAATTCCTAATATCGATCTAGATGAGCAATCAAGTAATAAAAATGTAATTATTAAAATATTACATCAATAGTAGAATAGTAAAAAATTCCTAAATTGTGTTTTATGTATGTGTTAATTTTAGCAAAACACTGGTTTTTCATCAGCTTCGATAGCTTTACAAACGTCTGAAGGGAAATTACATGAATTAAAAGCAATGCAGAAACACTTAATAAACCTTACCCATGAAGAACCTAATAAACCGGTAAATATCAATTTCTATAGATTTCCTACTATCTTTAAAAGCTATAATAATATACAATATTTATCAATTTTCAACCATATAGGTAAATCGTACGAATAACATTTTTTTAGACTTTCAATATCTCTAACATGCGGTTATTACGTTTTATTAGCAACAGCGTATCCACTTGGCCGTGCTTCGTGTATACTGTAGACATTATAATTATTTTTTTTATTATTTTTCTTTAGCTATAACAAAAACAATAATTTTTAGAAATATGAACCTAGAAAACCAACTTTGGAGTCTATAAGACATGCGATTGAAAGGGCCAAAAGGGAGGATATAGACCGCCACAAAAGTACAGGCACTGATGATTTATTACTGTTTAGTCAATCTGCACCTGTTTGTGATGCCATTACTTGTACGGACAGTAAGGCTGAAACTACACATAAATCCGAAAAGAAAGTTCGAAAAGTAAAAACTAAGACCAAGGGTGTCAGGATCAAGAAGAAAAAGAAAAAAAGTGATTCTAAAAGTAAACTTCCTTGTACAAGGAGATGGGAATAACATTTGATTATACAAAACTAACCTATTATATGTCGAGTGTGTATATAGTAAGCAATATGTTTGTTATGTTAAGTGTTTTTGGAATATCACGTATGTCATTTGTGCTGAAATATAAATAATAAAACAAGGTCTTTGGATTCAAACATTTTTTAAGCAGTTGATAATTGGATCTGGACAACTTTTACAATAGTTACAGGGTTTTAAAAGTAACGTCTAATACCAGAGCTATGAAGACAGATAACTGTCAAAAACAATTTGGCGATCTAAGGCTGTAATTTTATCCTAAGCGGAAGCGTATTAAACTCATTTTCTACGGCTACCTAATGTATAATATATCCTTTATGACAAATAACACTTAATATATGATTGAGGGGCAAGTTTTTAATTTATTTTTAAAACATATTTGTAAAAGGCAGTGAGCTGGCGACGGCTCTGCTTAAATGCTCGCACTGTGACGAAGTAACAGCGGTGTATTAGCAACGAACAAACCCTGTCTGTCATGTGTCATGTCAAATTCATTGCGACCTGCGCCCTCTATTCTTTAGTAAATTATCTGAACTCTACTAATTATGTAGTGTAGCGATGAGTTTTTGATAAGAACAAATTTATCGAAAATGTCCACATTAATGTGGTCCTGTCCATGTTGTTTACGATTCAAATTCAGCCCCGAAGAGCTGGAGCAGCGCTACAAGAGCCACGAAATCGACAAGATTATCGAAAAAGACAGACAAGCTATGAAAAGACAGGTCAAACTCCTCTTGTTGGGTGCTGGCGAGAGTGGGAAGAGCACTTTTCTCAAACAAATGAGGATAATTCATGGTATAAAATTCGAAAGCTACCTTATAAAAGAGTATCAACACGTGATTTACCAAAATTTAGTGAAGGGGATGCGGGTGCTAGCTGATGCTAGGGACAAACTAGGAATACAGTGGGGGGATAGTAGTAACGGGGAACTCGGCAAAAAATTGCTCCAGTTTGATAATAATTTGGTGCTGGATACCAGGAACTTTAGTCAGTTTAGTCCTTTGTTGTACAAATTGTGGAGAGACTCTGGAATTAGGAGAGCCTACGAAAGACGACGTGAATTTCAATTGGTAAGTACAATGTTTACCTTTTTTTGTACATATTAATCATATAAGTACAATGACCCATTATTTTTCCAATAGTTTTGTTAAAAATGTAAATCTATTTCAAGCTAAAATAAAACGTGAACACAACACCTGATAGGTATTTGTAATAGTCACAAGACTTGTATTTATTTGTAGGTGTAGTCACTAGGTTTTTATAAGAAGTCCTTTATAGTAAATTTTCACCATGAAATGTACATTTTTAAAATGAAATAGTTTAAAAACAAGTTATCCTAACTTAGTAAATAAAAATGATGGGCAATTAGGTTTTTAGCTATTGCAACTAGATAATTTCATATAGAGCATAATAAATGTTCTTATGTATTCATGTACCTTGACAGGGTATATTTAGACATAAAAACAATCAAGGGTGACATAGAGATGCTCTCAGGATAGTTGCAAAGTCATAAAGTCGATAACTAATACCTGGAATCTCATTATTTGAATTAGGTACAAAAAATTGTTAAGACCTGTGTATTTTTCACTAACACACAGTCATTTGCTGTATTTAATTTCAGTTTGGTTTCCTTCATATCAAAAATAGAAAGAATACAAAATAAATTATTTATATCAGTGGGGGCCAGATCAGCTGGTCAGTCACCAGAAGTCTTTAGGTTGATTGCTGAACAACATATATAGTCCGTTTCTAGTTGCCTCATCATTCACAGACTGCAAATTAGGCAAAATAATCTCAGTACTATTTTATTGAAAAATTACTCGTTTTTAAGAAGTTGTTGGTGTTTCTGGTTGAAATAACACTCTATCTCTTGTTTATAAAATTGTATTTCTTAACATTATTGAGGAATTTCAAACTTTTGGTACAAATGTCAGTCTCCCAGTTACAGATTTTTGGTTGGTAGATCTTCATAAAAAGTATGTGTACCACTGATCTATATAGGTGCTCTGCTGCCTTGTTTGGCATTTATTGAATCCATTCTGTGATGTTAGGCTGTGAATAATTCCTTCAGTATGGCCATCTTAGGACTAATACCTGGGCTTCCAGCCAGTAATTGTTCGTGTTTTTTTTTTCTTTAAAAAAGTTTACTCCACTAGGATGACATTTTAAATTATAATTTTTAATTTATATACTTCTTCCCAATGTTTAATTGTTAATGACAATTTTAATTTATGTACCTATAAGAGGATGAAGCTGTATAAAATCTTTGTTCTTAAAAAAATATTAAGTTGTAATTAGGAAACTAGGTGAATACCTTTATTTGTGCCACTAAAATATAAATTTTGATAGCTTTAAGCTCCAAAATACTAATCATCTAATCTAATCCATTCAACATTTTATAAACTGACCTAAAATACAATATGACTGTAATTATACAGCACCAAAATTGTAACTCTAATGAGAGTTGCTATGGAAGTGACACTGCTGTCAAACTTGTTTTAAACAAACACTAACTTGTTATATGTCAAGGTATACAACACTGTCTGTGAACAAGATGCTTACAACCTAAGAAAAATGTTATATACAGTGAGCATCATAAGTCTTACCCCCCTATCTAACTCGTTACTGGAGTCTTGTTAGGAAAATCGCTGAGACACGTCGATTTTTGATTTCTACAATGGTCATTTTAGTATGAATAGTTTACCCTTAGTTTCATCCCTTACTGGAGGGGAGAAACCCTTTTGAAAAATTTAAATGGCATGGGGTGGTGAGTGATAGCTCATTTGAAAGGGGGTTTTATTCCCTATTCAACCGTGCAAAAAATTTTGAAATTTGCTTCATTACTTGTTGATTTATTAATGTTTAAAAATAACAAAACATCACAAATAGGAAAGCAACTTAACTAACAGTGACCTTATCTAATGGCAAAAAGTCTTACTTCACATCTGAACCAAAACCGATATCATGCAGGGCCGAATTTTAATTCTAAGGATGAGTGCGCTACGTTAATTTCCTTTATTCTGAAACAATAATTAGTCGAGAATTAATGAAGCAAATTTCAAAATTTTTTGCACGGTTGAATAGAGAATAAAACCCCCTTTCAAATGAGCTATCACTCACCACCCCATGCCATTTAAATTTTTCGTAAGGCTTGCTCCCCTCCAGTAAGGGATGAAATTAAGGGTAAACTATCCATACAAAAATGTACATTGTAGAAATCAAAAATCGACGTGTCTCTGCGATTTTCCTAACAAGACTCCAGTAACGAGTTAGATAGGGGGGGGGGGGGGGGGGGTAAGACATGATGCTCACTGTATGTGAACCTTATAATCGCTCATATGAGTTTGGCAGAAATAATGGACCCAACATTATGAAACTTTCTTGAGCTATGTGTCCAACAAAATAGTGGCTATTATAATAGATACTAACTTTGTAATTCTTGTTAAATCTTTTAATATTTATAGGTGATCAATATATATTTTCGCTTCAGTACTGTATATTTCTGGTCTTACTGTAGTACCTACGCATATTTTTTCTTGTCATATACGAAAACCACTAAAATTTTAATATTTAAATCCTTATTAAGAAGATGTAATTATATAGTATCAAGCAAGATAATATCAACCCAACTCAATAAGAACATAATATTATATTCTCTTTAAAGAATTATAATTTTGAAAATGTAAATTTATGTAGTAGTTCTGTAAAATTTATGTTATTTTAACATTGTGTTAAAGATACTTCCAGAAATATACTAATAAATCGCCATGCTTTTCTGTCTCGATGATGGTAGGTGAGGTTTTCCAGGTTTTCGTCATTTGTAAGTCAAATGGCACCATCAATCATCTTTAATTCTCCCCGGAGCGTCACGGCAAATAATAATAATAATAGCCGTCCCTTCCCCCACACAAGCTCAGTCTGCTTTAGGAGTTGAAATTCACTCATAAGGGGGTGAATTAGGGAGAGTATTATTACTTACATAAATACATATTTTTTTTTCATATTCTGTAAATGTCAAAAATTAAAATATATTTTGATCAATTTAATGATTCTATGTTATTGTTGATATTTGTAATATAATAAGTTATAATATTCTTATTTTTATATTTATTGTTTTAAAAAACTGTTTTGTTTAATGAACTTAAGGTAGGTTATGTCGGGGGTAGTCACTTGCAATTTTTTAGGACAGCAAATCTCCATTTGTGGAGATCTTCATGTAACTCCATAGATCTCCATGAATATCCAGGGTTATCCTTAGATCTCCGTGGATATCATTTGGATTTCCATGGATTTCCCTATATCTCCTCTGGCTCTGCATATATATTTCATTCTGTTTTATATAGAATTGGGTTGTTAAAAAAAAAAAACACGTTTTTGCTGTTCAGAAAATGGTTGTTTGATATAATAATTTGTATCCATATTATTAATATGAATAAATCACAAACTTTTTAAAGGTAGTAAGTATACTATATCTACAATAGATGCGGTATTATCTCTAGTACAATATATAGAAAATTGTTTTGAAAAAGCTGAAAACTGTTTAGGTGTATCTACCGAGGGGCTTTTCACTGTTCAAAATTTGTACACCTATTGCCGTATTTCTGAAACATTTCCTGCATTGCCGAAACATTTCCGGCATTTCTCAACTATTGCCGGTATTTCCGAGCCATTGCCGGCATTTCCGAACCATTGCCGGCATTTCCGAACTATTGCCGGGCATTTCCGAACCATTGCCGGCATTTCTGAACCACGGCCAGCATTTCCTACACATTCCCGACTTTATGTATTGTATTATCGAACTATTTTTTTTACTCCAGGAAGCTAAAATTATGAAAATGTATGTTCGTTAGGACATTTTTACTTTCCTAACTGTTACGTTTTGGGGTCCCCTGAATCCGTTGTTATTATTTTCGCAATGTTGTATGTGTGCATGTGTGTCTCTATACTCGATAACTTATGAACGGATTAAGAGAAAAACACCAAATTTTAAATTTAAGCTTTATTATCATCTGTGGTAAGCTGATTAAATTTTTGGAACAGTCGGAACATCTGGGGGGGAGCACTTTATACACGGTTCTTTTTCTACTTTATAGAATATATTTGTTATTTACGCTTGGCGAAGAAAATTCTTCCAATAAAAGTTACTTGTGATTTCATTCTCTACATTTTTGCCCCATACATAATTTTCCTAAAATGGTCCGTATTCGAGAAATTTGACAAAAAAAGGCAAAATTCTAATTTTTAAGAAAATTGTTTAAATAAAAGTTTCTTGTGATGTCCATTCTCTATCATTTTTGTTCTATACATATTTTTCCTAAAATGGACCGTATTCAAGATATTTGAGAAAAAGTTCAAATTTCAAAGATAACTTAAAAACGGATTAAGGAGAAAAATACCAATGTTTAAACTTGAGCTCGAGTTAAGCTTTAATTTACCTTGCGGTGAGCTAATTAAATTTTGGGCATTGTCGAAGCATCTAGGGGGTTCTTTATAGGGTGTCTTTTTTACTTTAAAGAATATCTTTTTTTTTTCGATTGAGGAAGAAAATTCTTCAAATAAAATTTGTTTCAAATATCATTTTCTATAATTTTTGTCCTATACATAATTTTCCTAAAATGGTCCGTATTCGAGAAATCCACTACAGGTAATTTTTATAAATAAAATTTTGAAATAAGTCTGAATAGATAACAGCAGGTAGGTAACTACTTGTTTATAAAAATTGTTAAATAAACATAATGATTTGCAAAAATAGTGTAAAAACTAAGATTCAATGAAAACAATAGATTTTTAATTACAATACACTAGAACAGGATAAAAGTGACCCAAACACTAGATCTACTATAGAAACAGTAAAAAATCAGTCAACACTGACTGAAATGGCAATTAATGGGTGAGCTGATGAGCACAGGCTTTAACCGAAAAAAACAACTCGCGACCATAGAAATACTATACAGTAGGGTGGCGAAAAAAAAACCTACTATTTTGTTTGAGTCTCGTAAGAAAATATGTTAATTTATCGTTTTTTAAGACCCCTTCAAAGGGTAGCTCAAAAAAAAAATTTTTAGGGATC